ACCGCCCCTGTCACACCAAGCCCCTGTCACACCAAGCCCCGCCCCAGCCACACCAAGCCCTGCCCGCTGTCACACCAATCCCTGCCCCCTGTCACACCAAGACCCGCCCCCTGTCACTCAATGAGAGAGTAGTTGCACGACCATGGAGTCATGAGCACTTTCTTGCCGTTCACTCTGCAGTCTGCATGGCCAGATGGTTTCTTGCCGTTCACTCTGCAGTCTGCATGGTCAGATTGATGCAACAAGATGTTGGTGACAACAATGCTGCTTTTCACGTTAGTGTAGCTCAGCTGGTAGTAACGCCAGGGTGGTGGGTTCGATCCCCGCGACCACCCATACGTAAGATGTATGCAAACGTGACTGTAAGTGGCTTTGGATAAAAGCGTCTGCTAAAAATGGCATATATTGTTATTACTATTAGTTTGTGTTACGGTCTACAAACTACAGCCTGCTAGTTTGACTTTTCTTAGCAACTTGTGGCTAAAATAGGTCATGTTAGCCACTAATGACAATTGCTAGTTAGCTGGCTAGCTATCTAATATATGTACTGAGCCAGAGCAAACGTAGCTAGCTAATACAGCCTGGTACCAGTGTTGGAGTAGGCCTAGATCAGTATGTTGTTTGTGCAACAGTATCAGCTAAATCAGAGACGAATAGGCGAAGCAAGAATATGTTAGCTAGATAGCTACATGAGGTAAGAGAACATATAATGTAAAATCTAATTATGGTCCCCTGGGAACACTGACCAACACTTTGGTTCCTACCCTGTCAATATTTCTTCCCTGGTTTATTCATTCGTTGTCATGTCAAACAACAATGCATTCAAGGTGCTGCCCACTATATTTCAAATATGGAATAAGAATAATCATTGTATTTCCATGATTCCAATAGTTCACCAATTAAAACTAGGCCTAGATGTTTCGCCCGTATCATGGAGCCCTGCGTGCCACAGTGTGGAAATGATGACAAAAGTGCAGGAAATGCAGAAATGTATGAAAATTATTATTATTAAGTTGGATTGAACAGTATAAATTATTTTCATAATAATTAATGTAGAAGCCCCATTGAAATCACTTAATTTATGTGTTGCCACCCTAGGGTCATTTACTAGTCATAAAGCATATTTAGAACTTTTATTATTCAAAAACATAAGATATCATTGTTGAGACTTCTAGCTCACTCAGGGAAAAAAAAAAGAAAAAAAAAAAAAATATATATAAATAGATAAAAGAGAAGTAAATGGGTCTGATGTGTTCAATTAAATGGGGAACGAGCGATTTCTTTAAGTTTCTTAGATGCTCGGATATGTTACGTTATGTGCGCATGCGCAGCTTGACTAGAGACTTAAATTATGGCACCTGGTAATCATTTCAAGACAGACAATCATCAGGAGCACACAGCCCGTTGGTATGTAAGTGCGAACTACTCACAGTCTAGTATTAATGTTTAAGTCACTTATATGTTTGAGCACTGAACGTTTACCTCACTGTGTCGGTGTTAGTTGGCCGAGAGTAACTTGTAGCTCGCTGGGTGCGGTAGCTCAGCGACCCCAGATGCTGTTATAGCATTAGGCTATCATTATCAGCCATTTGCGTTGTGCTGATTGTTCGGAGCACTCTGCTGGTTTCTGGTGGCGGTGGTGAAAGCGGTGGTTTGGTTCGGTGATCCATGGTGGAGCGCCGCGTTGTGTTGCGTTTGTGCGTTGTTGTGGGTCCTATGGACGAGGCATGTGGTGGCATGGGTTCTGTGTCCTGTGGCAGCGTCCAGTGGCAACGGCGGAGTCGCTGGTGCGCATGCTCCTCTGGCGCTAGGCATTCTGGGTGATGTAGTCAATGCTGTTTTTAAGCCAGATTTGCCACATTTTGTGATGGTGTTGTAGGCTTATTTGATATATTATATATTTGAATAATATATTGTCATTATTTGGTTTTGTTGTAATTAAGTTTTATGACCTGTGGTCATATGATTTTAAAATAAAATTAAGGACAAAACACGAGTCATGACGTTGTGTGCTTCCTGGTGAGCCTTTTCGGAGGGCTAAATAACGGAAAATCCGAACAGTCATAAACCACGGTTCTCCTTTTAGATGGATAATGCAAGGTCTAGAACATTTGTCATGAGACTAACTTCTGATAAGCTAACAGTCCACCCCATAAAGCTGTCTGCTCATCTGTTGACTTACTAGCAAATCATTAATGAGTGAAAGCCAAGAAGAGGATAGAGTCTACAGTTAAAGGACTACTTAAAAACCCAGTTGGCGGAAAACACTTGAACTTGAGTTAAACGCTAGAAAGTTGGCAAGATGGCAGCATCAGAGGAGGAGCTGGAGAGGCTAAAACAGAAAGCAGTCAGCAGCCCAGACTGCGTTCACTAGAAGATCCAATTACCTCGCCACCAGAGCTAGTTGCACTGGGGGGAAAGTGAAATGAGAAGGTGAGTGGAGGAACTTTAAAGTGGATCACTCCAGAGTCAGAGATGCAGGGTTTGAGTATCACGGCCCATGAGAGAAGTGGACGACGATGAAGTCAAAAAAGAAGGCGGAAAAACGTTGACGGAAAAAAAACAGCAGAATGTGACTGTAAGTTTGATGAAACTGAACAAATCATCTGATCAGCTTTGGACAAGGTTCGCTGAGGCGGAAATGACCACCCTCACTGAAGAGGCTGGATCAGCCATGGACCAGGCCGAGGCAACCGATCACCACCATATGACCAGGAGGGAATGTGAATTGATTCATAGGAACCTGGAACGGGGAGGTCTACAAACTTCGAACGAGGATTGGATGAGTGGAAAAGATTTGATCCCTCGGTCCAAGGCAACAGAGTCAAAGGACCAAATCCGGAAGTTGAAGAAAAGGCGTGAAAAACTGTGGGATGAGTGGGCATAGAAAGGCGGTTCTCAATCCGACGACGAAGGGAAACTGGGAAGAGTGAAAATTGTGGAGCAGGAGGAGCCAGTTGGGGACTTACAACTACAGGCCCCAGATCAGCTAGAACGTGCACGCTTGCCCATGTTTGCTGGTAATATGAGGGATTACTACCGCTGGAAAGCATGAATGGGAGGACTTGCAACGTCTGGGAAACCCTCATGGATTGGAAAAATGTGAGGAAATTCCATCTCTTGGGAAGCCTAGATGAAAAAGTCAAGAGAGACCTCGTATTGTCCAGCTGTGGATCCGCCAATGACGTGTTCAGGCTCCTGGGACAAACAAGTACGGAAATAAGCCAAAAATAGTTGCTGCTGATTGCACAAGAAGTGCAAGGACTTTTCCCATTAAAGGAAACCATCCGAGGAAAGACAATCGAACTTGATTCAAGCCATGGAGAGAGCTCTTCGTGACCTAACAAGTCTTAGGGGAAGAAGATGCTGTAAAGAACCGAGTGGTTGTGCAGTCGATTGAAAGTTAAAACTTCTGACTCCGGAAAAAAAAAAAATGGTTTAAAAAACCCAAAAAAAGCCCTGGAAAAAAAAGCGGGTTTTCAAACCCCAACCACTTTTTGGGACTGGTTTTTACTTCCAAACCCTTAAAAAAAACCGGGGGGGAATACATTTCTCGAGGGGGCTAGACCAGCTACAGTAAACCCGGGGGGGACAATATGAAAAGGGGGCAAGCGAAAAAAAAAAGAAAAAAAAAAAAGGAGGGGGATTCACCCCGAGGGCCCCACCCGGGAAAAAACCCTAAAAAGGGGTCTCAAAAAAAGCTTATGGGGATCAATGTTTGGGGAAAAGAGCACGGAGGTAGGGGGGGTTTTTGGCCCGCAAGGTCTTCCCAAAAAGTCAATCTGGGCAGGCCCAAAAAGACTCAGTTTTTAGGGGAGGGGGGGGAAATTTTCTTTTAAATGCTTTCGCCCTTTTATGGGACGATGGCGGCGCCCCACAAAAAATACTATGGGTTTAAAGGTGACTGTCAGAAAAAGAAAAAGGGGGTCTTTAGACCACAATTACTTGCTCTGTCCAAAGCCACAGATCAAGAAGAAAGAGGAAAAGAGCGGAGAGCAGAGCGAGGCAAAATTGGGGAGAAAAGGGGGCTTGGACTAACCAACAAACAGGAGGAGCTCCTTGCCAAACTTTCTCCAGAGCTGCGAGCAGAGTTCAAAGAAGCCTTTTTTAAATAAAATCCCCAAAAAAAAAGTGGTGGGTAGCATGGTTGGGGAGCCAAAAAGAGTGGGCCCGTTCATAATGATGTGTTGGATTTTGACGGGCAAATTTGGCCCGTAGTCGGTTTCGTTGATTTATTCGCTTTAGATAAATAATTATATTTTAATTTAAAACAGGGGGGAGGTTTTCAAGTTTTAAAAGGTGGGGAAACATTAAGTTGATTGTCCAAAATGTTGGAGGGATGGGGGGGGGGAAAAAAACCCCTTATACCCAAAAAGATCCCCCGAGGCTGAGAGTTAAAAAAAATCCCAAAAGGGAAAAAAGCAGAGCCCCCAAAAATCCTTTTTTACGGGGGTTGGAAAAATGTGGCGAAGGTGAAACCCGGTGGGCCCGCCACAGGGAATGCAAAAAGTTTCTTTCCCAAATTTTTACTAAAGGGGCTTGGGGGGCCCGGGAAGGGAAAAAAATTTGAAACCGGGTTTATTGGCCCCAGGGAAAGGGGCGGGTGGTCCCCCAGGGCCCGTTTAGAGTAGTTGGGGGGGACCTCGTCCTCTGGGGGTGGCCCCCCCCGGGGAACTGTTGGGGGAACGAAACCGACCTCTTTGGGAAATGATAGAAACCCCGCCCGGCAAAAGGTTTTTAAAAAACATTTCGCAGGTCCCAAAGAAAAAACAGCCCTTTAAAAGGGCGTACAAAAAGATTTCGTGGGAAAACGGAAGGACCCAGGTTTTGGTTTTGGTGGAAAAAAAGAAAAACGCCCTCCGAAAAAAAACGCAATACCAAAAAAATTTAAATTTTGAAAAAGGTTTTTAAGGGGGGCAAATTGGGGGCCGGGCCCGTGACCTTCCCCGTGGTGGGGGCCCGCAGGGTGCGGTAGGGTTTCCCCCCCGGAGGGCCCAAGGGGGCAAAGACCCCAAAGGGAGGAAAGGAAAAGGGAAAAAAGACTTGGGGAAAATAAAGGAATGTCTCAAACCCACGTTTCAAGGGTGACAAAACAAAAGCCCAAAAACCCCTAAATTGGGGGGGCGAGTTAACCCCTGGAAAAAAGGGGACCCGCAAAAGTGCCTGACAATCGGGGTGCAGTGAAAAACGACCCTTTTTTAAAAACTGGGGGAAAAAGAATGGAGAGGGGCCCGGGAAAGGGAAGGCGGGGTACAGGAGCAAAACCAAAAATATGGTCTCAAAAAGGGGGGTGCCCTTTAAAAATCACCCAAGAGGGAAAAACCCATAGCTGGGAAAGGGAAACCAAGTGTATTCAGTCATTTGGGGGGTTTCTTTCCCAACCTCAATCCCAAACCCCTACCCTGTAAGAATTGTTTTGGGAACCCGTAGCCAAAAAAATTTGGAATTGGGTTAAAAATTAACCCACGTACAAGGGTCCGATGTTCTAATCAGTTTAAAGGGGGTGCTTTGGGGATTTAAAGGGGGAAGGGGGGTACGCCCCCCCTGGGCCCATTTTTGAAATTTTTTACAAACCCCTGTTTTCTTTAAGACCCAAAAAGAAGGGACACCCCCTGTTCTCTGGAGAGACCAAAAATCCTTTAAAGGGGGGTGAAACGAAAATCTTTGGTCGTCCCGGGGGGCAAAAAATTGGGGATTTAAAAAAGTGGGTTTTATCGCCCAAAGGGGGCAAAAATTTGGGAGAAACAGCCAAAAACCCGCCCCCGTTTGCAGCCATGGTTTAGGAGGCCAGGGGTTTGGGTAGGGAAAATTTTATTTGGAGGGGCCAAACTTGAGTCCCACAATGACTTCCCGGAAAAACTGGGGAAAATCACCCAAAAAAGTGGGAAAAAAAGATCTTAAAAGGTGGAGGCTTTTTTTCCTTTAAGCCATGGGGCTTATCAGGCCAACGTGGGGGGTCCCAACCACAAAAATGATGCCCGTATTTAGTAAAGGAAAAAAGTGAGTGTTTCCCAAAAAAGGGTTTGGGGTTTAAAACCCAAACCCAGATGCGGGGGCGGGAAAAAAAGCAAAGCATTGGAAATCGGGCCTTTTGAAACCAGAGGTTTACAAATTCCGGGGTGATGAACCCCCCGTTTAAATTTTTTTCCAAAAGGGAGAGGAAAAATAAGAGGAAAAAGGAAAATCGATTTGCGCAAAAAAAGGAAGGGAGAGGTTTAAAAATCCAAAACCCCCCTTGGGCCCGTTTGGAGCTGCCCAAGCCGATTGCTGGTTTCTACGACCCCATTGGTTGCCACCAAACCCCCCCAAAAACAGGGAAAAGGGGGGGGTGATGATTTTTGAGAGAAGCTTACCAAAGGAAAAAAAAAAATAAATAAGCAAATCCCCGGGTTTAAAGGGCCAAATTGGGGTGGGCCACCTCACCCAAAAAAAAAAGGGGGCTTCCCTAAACTCCTCGGAAAAAAAAATATGTGAGACTTTCCCCCGATTTAGGTTCCGGAAAAAAAGCCTTTACACCCCAAACCCGGGAACCCTTTGGGCCCTCCAAAGGGGGTCACGTTTTTTAGGTGGGGGTGAGGTTCCTACGGGCCCTGGGGCTCTTAAACCGTTGGGGGACGCCGAAAAAATGGGGTCGTTTGTTTAGGGTGGTTTTAGTCAAAAAACAAAAAAATTACCCCCTCAAACCCGAAAAGGGGGACGTGAAAAAAACCCGAAAGGAAAGGGTGCGTCTTTTCGATCCCCCTGAGAAAAACCCTTTTAAAGCACTGCCGCACAAGGGTTTGGGACGCGGTGGGCCAAATTTTTGGGGGTAAACCAAAAAAATCAAAGGGAGCAAATTTCCCAAAGGGTAGTATGGCTACCAAAAATTTCTTGCCCAACCGCATTTGAGAAACCCGAAGGTGGACCAGTGGGGAAAACTGGAGGGGGATTGGGGGGCAAAACCCGAACATAGGGAGAAAATTTATCACAAAGGGGGGGGAATTTTGAGGGAAAATCGAGGGAAAGGGTTTTTAGAAATGGAAAAAAGGCCCAGGGGTTTCCCGAGTTTTCCTGGGGCTGAAATGGCCTGTGAAAAAAGGCCCGGAAAGGGTAAGGGGGCCCCGCGGGCTGATGATGTTAAAAGGTTTTCAGAGGAAGGAAGGGGCCCTTTTCAGTTTTTTAGTCACCAGGTCTCAGGGGAGAGAAAAAATTTAGGCCCCGCAAAAACTGATTTTTGGGGGGGCCCAAAATTTTCAAGACCCGCAAAAACAAAAAGCAGAAAATGAAAAACCAAGGGGCCAAAAACCCGAAATAGAGGGGGCCCCCAAAAAGGGGAAAGGGCCCCGGGGTGTAGCTCTAAATGCGCCTTGTTGGGCCCGAAACCCATTTAGGGAGCTGTTTTTAAATTGTTTGGAAAAAAAATCGCATGGGTTTGAAAAACGGGAGAATCCGGGGTGAGGGAAAAAAAAGCTACCAAGCCTCGAGCTCCCAAACAAAAATGGGGGGGGAAAGGGGGCCCCGGGTTTTTTGTGGGGGGGGAAAAAGAAAAAGGGGTTTTCCAAAAACCAGCCTTTTCGGCCCAAGGGCGGGGGGAACTTTAAAGGTCGACCTTAAAAAAAGCCTTGTTGTGAAAATTTAAAAATGACAAAAAAAGGGGCTTTTTACTTTTTGGGGGGTTTGGGTCCATTTGGGAAAGAAAACGGGGAAAAAACCCCTTTTACCCTTTTTTTCCCCTTTCCCGGCGGGGGGGGGGGCCTTGCTTTCGAGGGAAACTCACGAAGGGGGGAAATTATGAAAGGGGGGGGGCTGCCCCCCCCTGCTGCACACCCCAAAAGGGAAAGGGGCCCGGGGGTTTTGGGAAGGTTTGGGGGGGGGGCAGTGAAGAAGGTCGGGTTAAAAAGGTTTCTCACTTGCAAGAAGCCCAATAGGCCGGCTGTGCCCCGAAGTGATTTAGCACTCTTTCCCCAGGAAAAGCCCATTAAAAAGCGGAAAACCCCTTCGAGTTTTACTACATTTAACCCCTTTTGGGCCCCCCGAAATGAAGGGGACGCTGTTAAAAAAAAAGAACCCAAAAAAAAGGCTGGGAGTCGTTTTTAGGGTGCATGAAAATTCCCGGGGCCGTCCATGTGATCTTCGGACGGAACCAGTCTTTGGAAAAGGGTTTTTTCCCGGCCTACTCCCGGTTCCACCCTTTCTTTTGAGGGGGGGCCTCCCAAAAAAAGCTTGGTTTAGACAGGGGGCCCCAAAAATTTTTGTGGGGGGCCAGGCCTGGTTTTGAGGAGGCTAAACAAAAAAACCCGGCCGGTTTTGGCAGAAAACCCCTTTTGCCAAAGGGGAAACACCCTTAAGGGACCCCAAGGGTTGGGCCAGGGGTAAAAAGGACAGGGGCCAAAGGGACTTTCATTTCCGAGAAAATCCCCCCACCCCAGGAAGGAGCAGCGTCAAAATCCCTTTTTAAAAAAAGCTCTTAAAAAAGGTTTTTGGCCCGAAAAAAAACTGGGTTTTCAAACCTGGGGGGAGTTTTTTAGAAACCCTTTTTAATTGGGAGGGCCAAACTTTACTTACAAAAGAGGACCCCTCGACCCAGGGTTTCCCCGGAACAAGAGGGGCTTTGGGGAGTCTTTCCCCCCAAAATCAACCCATCCTGGGGGGGCCCCGGGACAGGGAGGGGGAAAATAAAACGGAAAAACGACCCCAAAAAAAACCCCCCCTTGGCGGGAGAATTGGGGGGTTTTTTCCCGGGGAAGGGGGGGCAGGGTTTTGGAAGAAATTTGGGGAGAAAATGGGCCCCCGGGGCCCAAAATTTTTTAAACGACCCCAAGTGGGGACCGGGAGGCAAAAGAAAAAATTCAAGGTTGGGACGTTTGTTTTGGATTGCCGGGGGCCAGAACGCTCTAAGGGGGAAGTTCCGGCTCGGCCGGGTTGCTACAACATATCCAGACGAGAAGGGGGTTGTCCGGGATGCGGACATAACAACCTGTATGGGTCTTCCTGCTCCCCATGGTTCCCAGGGCCCGGAGAAAGGACTCTACCATGCACACGACAATCATCATTCACAGGGATGTGCGGAGGTTGGTGATCTTGATTCCTGCTGAAGACCAAGAGGAGGTAAGATAAGTTCTCGCCATGGGTACCCAAAGACTGTGACTCTGTGTTCTTTGCTTAGCTAGCGGGTAACCCTGGGAGGCAACTGAGTGCTTCAAGGGCAAACCTACACTCAGTAGGAGGAAAGGTGGTGGAGCCTACCTCCTTAGTTAATACATATTTGTTTGTAAATGCCTACAAAGACTGGACTTTAGTTTGAAATTCTCACTGAGGGACTCAAGAGACTGTGCCCTCCTTGGATCTTCGATCAGTCGGCCAAGTGGGAGGTGTTGAGACTTCTAGCTCACTCAGGAAAAAAAAATATATATATATATATATATATACAGTGGGGAAAAAAAGTATTTAGTCAGCCACCAATTGTGCAAGTTCTCCCACTTAAAAAGATGAGAGAGGCCTGTAATTTTCATCATAGGTACACGTCAACTATGACAGACAAATTGAGAAAAAGAATTCCAGAAAATCACATTGTAGGATTTTTAATGAATTTATTTGCAAATTATGGTGGAAAATAAGTATTTGGTCACCTACAAACAAGCAAGATTTCTGGCTCTCACAGACCTGTAACTTCTTCTTTAAGAGGCTCCTCTGTCCTCCACTCGTTTCCTGTATTAATGGCACCTGTTTGAACTTGTTATCAGTATAAAATACACCTGTCCACAACCTCAAACAGTCACACTCGAAACTCCACTAAAGCCAAGACCAAAGAGCTGTCAAAGGACACCAGAAACAAAATTGTAGACCTGCACCAGGCTGGGAAGACTGAATCTGCAATAGGTAAGCAGCTTGGTTTGAAGAAATCAACTGTGGGAGCAATTATTAGGAAATGGAAGACATACAAGACCACTGATAATCTCCCTCGATCTGGGGCTCCACGCAAGATCTCACCCTGTGGGGTCAAAATGATCACAAGAACGGTGAGCAAAAATCCCAGAACCACACGGGGGGGACCAAGTGAATGACCTGCAGAGAGCTGGGACCAAAGTAACAAAGCCTACCATCAGTAACACACTACGCCGCCAGGGACTCAAATCCTGCAGTGCCAGACGTGTCCCCCTGCTTAAGCCAGTACATGTCCAGGCCCGTCTGAAGTTTGCTAGAGTGCATTTGGATGATCCAGAAGAGGATTGGGAGAATGTCATATGGTCAGATGAAACCAAAATAGAACTTTTTGGTAAAAACTCAACTTGTCGTGTTTGGAGGACAAAGAATGCTGAGTTGCATCCAAAGAACACCATACCTACTGTGAAGCATGGGGGTGGAAACATCATGCTTTGGGGCTGTTTTTCTGCAAAGGGACCAGGACGACTGATCCGTGTAAAGGAAAGAATGAATGGGGCCATGTATCGTGAGATTTTGAGTGAAAACCTCCTTCCATCAGCAAGGGCATTGAAGATGAAACGTGGCTGGGTCTTTCAGCATGACAATGATCCCAAACACCGCCCGGGCAACGAAGGAGTGGCTTCGTAAGACGCATTTCAAGGTCCTGGAGTGGCCTAGCCAGTCTCCAGATCTCAACCCCATAGAAAATCTTTGGAAGGAGTTGAAAGTCCGTGTTGCCCAGCGACAGCCCCAAAACATCACTGCTCTAGAGGAGATCTGCATGTAGGAATTGGCCAAAATACCAGCAACAGTGTGTGAAAACCTTGTGAAGACTTACAGAAAACGTTTGACCTGTGTCATTGCCAACAAAGGGTATATAACAAAGTATTGAGAAACTTTTGTTATTGACCAAATACTTATTTTCCACCATAATTTGCAAATAAATTCATAAAAAATCCTACAATGTGATTTTCTTGATTTTCTTTTCTCATTTTGTCTGTCATAGTTGACCTGGACCTATGATGAAAATTACAGGCCTCTCTCATCTTTTTAAGTGGGAGAACTTGCACAATTGGTGGCTGACTAAATACTTTTTTTCCCCACTGTATATATATATATATAAATAGATAAAAGAGAAGTAAATGGGTCTGATGTGTTCAATTAAATGGGGAACGAGCGATTTCTTTAAGTTTCTTAGATGCTCGGATATGTTACGTTATGTGCGCATGCGCAGCTTGACTAGAGACTTAAATTATGGCACCTGGTAATCATTTCAAGACAGACAATCATCAGGAGCACACAGCCCGTTGGTATGTAACTGCGAACTACTCACAGTCTAGCATTAATGTTTAAGTCACTTATATGTTTGAGCACTGAACGTTTACCTCACTGTGTCGGTGTTAGTTGGCCGAGAGTAACTTGTAGCTCGCTGGGTGCGGTAGCTCAGCGACCCAGATGCTGTATAGCATTAGGCTATCATTATCAGCCATTTGCGTTGTGCTGATTGTTCGGAGCACTCTGCTGGTTTCTGGTGGCGGTGGTGATAGCGGTGGTTTGGTTCGGTGATCCATGGTGGAGCGCCGCGTTGTGTTGCGTTTGTGCGTGTGTGGGTCCTACGGACGAGGCATGTGGTGGCATGGGTTCTGTGTCCTGTGGCAGCGTCCGTGGCAACGGCGGAGTCGCTGTGCGCATGCTCCTCTGGCGCTAGGCATTCTGGGTGATGTAGTCAATGCTGTTTTAAGCCAGATTTGCCACATTTTTGATGGTGTTGTAGGCTTATTTGATATATTATATATTTGAATAATATATTGTCATTATTTGTTTGTTGTAATTCAGTTTTATGACCTGTGGTCATATGATTTAAAATAAAATTAAGGACAAAACACGAGTCATGACATTGTGTGCTTCCTGGTGAGCCTTTTCGGAGGGCTAAATAACGGAAAATCCGAACAATCATCAAATACTGTTGTTATATATTTTCACCATATCACCCATCTCAATCACTCACTCATAAAGAATACTGTACACAATATCTCTCTCTCTCTCTCTCTCTCTCTCTCGCTCTCGCTCTCGCTCTCGCTCTATCTATCTCTCTCTCTCTGAGTGTTGTGTGAGTGGGTGGTCGTCCAGGGCTGGAGGGCTGGAGAGGCTGAGGGGCTTGGCCTTGTAGACCACACATGGTGCACTCTGCTGGGATAGAGTGGGCTGAGAGGCCTGCCTGTCCACGGCTTCACTCTTAGTCTGGATGAGTGGAGAGGTTGAGTAGAGAGGCTGGCAGGGTTAGGGGAAAGCACTTCAGTTTAGTGTGTGTGTGTGTGATACCTACATAGTGTGTGTGTGTGTGCATGTGTGTGTGTGTCCTCCACCTCACACGAACGCACACACACACGAATGCACACACACACACACACACACACACAAACACACACTGCTGCCGTGGATACTGAGGACCTGATCTAGTTTCCATGGCTACTGCATGGACAAAGAAAGGGGTCGGCGGGCGACAGGCACCCTCCCCTGGAGAGAGAAATAGGGAGGGAGGGAGGGATAAAGGGGGTATGGAACATGAGCTCATGGGCTCCTGAGTTCTTCTGAAAAAAATAGAATCATAGTTGGATAAATGTAGATATACTAGGATTTTTTTTCCGCAAGGACTTATGTAGGATACTACCCTCTAAATCTCCAATCCAAATCAAAATTCCATACCTAAAACCTTGATTTTTGACAGAATTACCTGAATGGATCCTTACTACCAATGACTATCAAGAAAAAAACCTAAACCTGCAGAAGAAACATAGCAGAACATGGTAATACCATCCAACACAAAACTGAGTGAGTAATAATGTAGCTCAGTTGGTAGAGCATGGCATTTGCAACGCCAGGGTTGTGGGTTTGATTCCCACGGGGGGCCAGTATGAAAAAATATAATAATGTATGCACTCACTAACTGTAAGTCGCTCTGGATAAGAGCGTCTGCTAAATGACTAAAATGTAAATGTAAATGTAATGTTCAGTCTGAATATACTTCTGAAGCCAAAAGTTGAAAGACAATAATCTCTAGGTGATTGTGTTATATAAAGCTTAATAAATAAGGCTACTAAGCTACCAAGCTGCTAGGACAGAACAGACCTGGCTGCAACTTCAATTATCACTGACGTTTGAATTGAGAGGTGTAAAAACTCTAACAATGGCAGCAGAGTTTCACAGCCTCCCCCACCCAAATGCAGAGGCCTTTGAAGCCCCCTTGCGCCATGGCGTATCCCTGGGCAGATGTCATCACAGTACAGCACCTCTTGGATATTCAAAATAACACTGAATGGAATAAGTACAAAAATAAGCTCCTCAAGGACAATCCAGAGGCACTATTTGCAGACTGCTACAAAGAGGGTGTCACGGTTTCGGCCGAGGCTGCTCCTCCTCCTTGTTCGGGCAGGCTTCGGCGGTCGTCGTCCCCGGAGTACTAGCTACCACCATTCGATGTTTCATGTTTGTTTGGTTTTGTCTGTTTGTACACCTGTCCCTTGTTAGTGTTTGATTTTGTTTCCTATTTAGTTATCGTGTGTTGGGTCAGGTGTTATGTGTGATTGTTATGTCAGCTGTTAGCTGTTGGTGGGTTTTCCTCTCATGTTGTTTGTTTTTTGAGAGTCCGCACTGCGTGCGCGTTTCTACTATTTTACGCACTGTTGTGTGTGTGCGTAATTGTTCATGCCTCCCGGTTGGGTTGGCCAGTTACCTGTTTGGAGTTATATTTTGGATCACTAAAGTCTGTTGACGAACGCCCTTGTTCCTGCGCTTGATTTCTCGCACCACATCCACACTCAGCATTCTTGACAGAATCACACATCACACCATGGAATCAGCAGGAGCAACCGCGCCAACGGACATCATGGAGGACCGTCTTCGTGGGCAGGAGGACAGGATCAACCAGATCGGTCACGCCCTGGATCGGGTGATGAACAATCTCCACCGATGGGAAAGCAGCGGGGTACCCACGCCCCCACCTACCGGACCATCCCCATCGGTCAGTCCTCCTGTTCCCCTTCCGGAACCCAGCGGGATTCGGCTCTCGCTCCCGTGGGCGTACGACGGCTCCGCTGCCGGGTGTCAAGGGTTCCTCCTGCAAGTGGAGCTCTACCTCGCCACCGTACACCTGGCGCCCTCGGGACACGAGAGCGTCTCCGCCCTCATCTCCTGTCTTACCGGCAAGGCGTTGGAGTGGGCCAACGCCGAATGGAGGAGAATAGACGCCGCTACTGTTACCTATGCGGAGTTCTCCCGCCGCTTCCGTGCCGTGTTTGACCATCCACCAGAAGGGAAGGCGGCGGGGGAGCGTCTGTTCTACCTCCGACAGGGGATGAGGAGCACACAGGATTTTGCTTTGGAGTTCCGGACTCTAGCGGCAGATGCAGGGTGGAATGAGCGGGCCCTCATAGACCACTTCCGCTGTAGCCTCCGGGAGGACGTCCAGAGAGAGTTGGCGTGCAGGGATACCACGTTGTCGTTTGACCAACTGGTCGACATGGCCATTCGGCTGGACACCCTGCTCGCCACCCGTGGACGTCCCGGGTGGGGGTTGCCCATTCCACCCTCGGGCACCTCCGAGTCGAGCCCTATGGAGCTCGGAGGTGCTGGCGCTAGAGAACGGAGGAGTAGGAACCCGAGGGGGGCCGTTCCCTGCACCAACTGTGGCCGTGGAGGGCACACCGCGGCTAGGTGTTGGGGAGGGTCCCCCGGTGGAGGTGAAGGCAGGCCACGCATTGGGGAGTCCTCCCAGGTGAGTAGGCGCCCTACTTACCCAGAGCTTTCTGTCATTCACATAACCTTGCCTGTTTGTTTTCCACAGGTTGCACCTCGTTCCCAGCATAAGGCGCTAGTAGATTCAGGCGCAGCTGGGAATTTTGTAGATCGCCAGTTCTGTGTAGAGTTAGGGATTCCTCTCCTTCCCGTTGATAAGCCTTTCCCTGTACATGCCCTAGATAGCCGTCCGTTAGGATCTGGGTTAATTAGGGTGGTCACAGCGCCCCTTAGGATGAAGACGCAGGGGGGTCATGAGGAGACGATTCAGCTCTATCTGATTGACTCTCCTGCGTATCCGGTGGTGCTGGGACTTCCCTGGTTGATTACCCATGATCCTACTATTTCGTGGCGAGAGAAAGCTCTTAAAGGGTGGTCTGTTCAGTGTGAGGGGCTATGTCTGGGTGTTTTCATAGGGGCGACCTCGGTGGAGAGTCCAAATCAAATGCCCGCACTGCATATTCCCCCCGAGTATGAGGATTTGACACTGGTTTTTAGTAAGACAAGGGCGGCGCAGCTGCCGCCTCATAGACAGGGGGATTGTGCGATAGATCTCCAGTTAGGAGCAGCACTCCCGCGGAGCCATGTGTATCCCTTGTCTCAAGAGGAGAGGAAGGCGATGGAAACTTACATCGCCGAGTCTCTGAGACAGGGATACACCCGCCTCCTCGAGCTTCTTTTTTGTGAAGAAAAAAGATGGAAGTTTGCGCCCGTGTATTGATTACCGCGGTCTCAATCAGATTACGGTGAAGTACAGCTATCCACTTCCTCTGATTGCGACTATGACGGAGTCATTACACGGTGCTCAGTTCTTCACAAAATTGGATCTCAGGAGCGCATATAACTTGGTGCGCATTAGAGAGGGCGATGAATGGAAGACAGCATTTAGCACGACCTCCGGTCATTACGAGTATCTCGTCATGCCATATGGGTTAATGAATGCTCCCTCAGTCTTCCAATCCTTTGTAGATGAGATTTTCCGGGACATGCAGGGGCAGGGAGTAGTCGTGTACATAGACGATATTCTGGTGTACAGTTCTACCCGAGCTGAGCATGTAGCCCTGGTGCGCCGAGTATTGAGGAGGCTGTTGGAGCATGACCTATATGTCAAGGCAGAGAAATGTCTGTTCTTTCAGGAGTCGGTCTCCTTTTTGGGGTATCAGTTGTCTGCGTCAGGGGTGAAGATGGAGGTTGACCGGGTGTCAGCTGTGCGTAATTGGCAAACCCCAACCACTGTGAAAGAGGTGCAACAGTTCTTGGGTTTTGCGAATTACTACCGGAGGTTTATCCGGGGTTTTGGACAGGTGGCAGCTCCCATAACGTCCCTGTTGAAGGGGGGTCCGGTGCGCTTACGGTGGTCAGCTGAGGCGGACAGGGCTTTTGGGAGACTGAAGGACCTGTTTACCTCGGCGCCGGTGCTGGCGCATCCGGATCCCGCTTTACCATTCCAGGTAGAGGTAGACGCGTCTGAAGCCGGTATCGGGGCCGTTCTCTCACAACGGTCTGGCACACCACCTAAACTCCGCCCCCTGTGCTTTTTATTCTAAGAAGCTCAGTCCGGCGGAGCGGAATTATGACGTAGGGGACAGGGAGCTGTTAGCCGTGGTACAAGCCCTAAAGGTGTGGAGGCATTGGTTTGAGGGGGCTCAACACCCTTTCCTCATTTTGACCGACCACCGTAACCTGGAATACATCCGGGCAGCTAGGAGACTGAATCCTCGCCAGGCTCGCTGGACTATGTTTCTAGCCCGGTTTGTATTTAAAATCACTTACATCCCTGGGTCCCAGAACGGGAAGGCAGATGCCCTGTCTCGGCGGTATGACACGGAGGAGAGGTCCGTTGAGCCCACTCCCATACTACCAAAGTCTTGTCTGGTGGCACCGGTGGTATGGAGGTCGATGCAGAGATCGAGCGGGCGTTACGCACCGACCCAAGTCCTCCACAGTGTCCAGTGGGTCGGGCGTACGTTCCGCTCGAGGTGCGCGATCGCCTCATTTATTGGGCTCATACGTCCCCCTCCTCTGGACATCCAGGTATCGGCCGGACAGTTCACTGCCTTAGCACTAAGTACTGGTGGCCAACGTTAGCCAGGGATGTGAGGGTTTATGTCTCCTCCTGTTCGGTGTGTGCCCAGTGTAAGGCGCCCAGACATTTGCCGAGGGGTAAGCTACAACCCCTGCCCGTTCCGCAACGACCCTGGTCCCACCTCTCAGTGGACTTTGTTACAGACCTTCCCCCCTCACAGGGGAATACTACCATCCTGGTCGTTGTGGATCGGTTCTCGAAGGCCTGTCGTCTCCTTCCCATGCCGGGTCTCCCTACTGCCCTACAGACCGCTGAGGCTCTGTTTACCCATGTCTTCCGGCATTACGGGGTACCCGAGGATATAGTGTCTGATCGAGGCCCCCAGTTCACCTCCAGAGTGTGGAGAGCCTTTATGGAACGGTTGGGGGTTTCGGTGAGCCTTACCTCGGGTTACCACCCGGAGAGTAATGGGCAGGTTGAACGTGTCAACCAGGATGTGGGTAGGTTTCTGAGGTCATATTGCCAGGGCCGGCCGGAGGAGTGGGCGAGATATGTTCCCTGGGCCGAAATGGCACAAAACTCTCTCCGCCACTCCTCCACCAAACTAACCCCTTTCCAGTGTGTGTTAGGGTACCAGCCGGTTCTGGCACCTTGGCATGAGAGCCAGATCGAGGCCCCTGCGGTGGATGAGTGGGTGCGGCGCTCGGAGGAGACGTGGAACGCTGCCCACGTTCATCTGCAGCGGGCCATCCGTCGACATAAGACGAGCGCCGATCTCCACCGCAGTGAGGGGCCTGTGTACGCACCTGGAGATCGAGTCTGGCTCTCGACCAGAAACCTGCCCCTCCGCCTACCCTGCCGGAAGCTGGGTCGGCGGTTTGTGGGGCTGTTCAAAGTCCTGAGGAGGTTGAACGAGGTGTGTTACAGCTTAGAACTGCCCATTGATTACAAGAATATTAACCCCTCGTTCCATGTGTCTCTCCTCAGGCCGGTGGTAGCTGGTCCACTCCAGGACTATGAGATAGAGGAGACTCCTCCGCCCCCGTTGGACATCGAGGGGGCTCCGGCGTACACCGTTAGGTCCATCCTTGATTCGAGACGCCGGATGGGGGGTCTCCAATATCTCGTGGAGTGGGAGGGGTACGGCCCGGAGGAGCGGTGCTGGGTGCCGAGGAGGGACATATTAGACCTGTCTCTTCTGACCGAGTTCCATCGGGGTCATCCTACGCGCCCTGCTCCGCGTCTTCCTGGTCGTCCCCGAGGCCGGGGTCGGCGCACGGCTGGAGCCGCGCGTCAAGGGGGGGGGTACTGTCACGGTTTCGGCCGAGGCTGCTCCTCCTCCTTGTTCGGGCAGGCTTCGGCGGTCGTCGTCCCCGGAGTACTAGCTACCACCGTTCGATGTTTCATGTTTGTTTGGTTTTGTCTGTTTGTACACCTGTCCCTTGTTAGTGTTTGATTTTGTTTCCTATTTAGTTATCGTGTGTTGGGTCAGGTGTTATGTGTGATTGTTATGTCAGCTGTTAGCTGTTGGTGGGTTTTCCTCTCATGTTGTTTGTTTTTTGAGAGTCCGCACTGCGTGCGCGTTTCTACTATTTTACGCACTGTTGTGTGTGTGCGTAATTGTTCATGCCTCCCGGTTGGGTTGGCCAGTTACCTGTTTGGAGTTATATTTTGGATCACTAAAGTCTGTTGACGAACGCCCTTGTTCCTGCGCTTGATTTCTCGCACCACATCCACACTCAGCATTCTTGACAGAGGGGAACATCATCAACTTCATTTTCCACACAGACCATCCCCTGGCATGGCACAGTGCTATAAGAGCACACTGCTATAAGAGCCCTCTGTCAAGAGACAGGGTATTGGCCCGGGGTGGAAACTCAGAATACTAGACATTGAGGAAATTGAAACAACCTCTGTCAACGTGTACCAAGTCTGGGACAGTCATGGTGCAGGGCATCCTCATGCAGTTCCAGCAGGACTTTTACTGGATCAAAGAGAGAGCACAGCAGGAAAAGCTCTCTCTCTCTGTGACGACTCCCCCATCCTGAGTGAGTCTGATCACACCTCTTCAAACTGTCCTGCAGACGAGGATAGTCCCCCCCCCCCCCCCCCCCCCCCCCCCCCCCAAGCACTGAACACACCCAGGTCCCACAACTGCACTGCTCCTCCATCATTGAGAGGGATTAATTCACCGAGCTGGAGAGAGACATGGTGGAGCTCAGAGAGCTGGTCCACACAATCCAGGAAAACACACCCACAAAACAGACCAGCACAACAACACCCCCCCTACAGTACCCAGAGGGCTGAAACAGACCAGCACAACACCACCCCCCCTACAGCACCCAGAGGGCTGAAACAGACCAGCACAACAACACCCCCCCCAATTAGACCCGGAGGGCTGAAGGTGGAGATGGACGGCTGTCTGAGGGAGCTGGCTGCACTCCGGACTGAGGTGAGAGAACTTTAGGAGGAGGGAGAGGAACACATGGCACAGCTAACAGCAGTGAAGGAGGAGGGAGAGGAACACATGGCACAGCTAACAGCAGTGAAGGAGGAGGGAGAGAGACACATGGCACAGCTAACAGCAGTGAAGGAGGAGGGAGAGGAACACATGGCACAGCTAACAGCAGTGAAGGAGGAGGGAGAGGAACACATGGCACAGCTAACAATCCACTGAGGACACACAAAAGCCAGAAATAGAGGAGGGAGAGGTAGCTTAGTGGGTAAGAGCGTTGTGCCAGTAACCAAAGGTCGCTGGTTCTAATCCCCGAGCCGACAAGGTGAAAAATCTGTCGATGTGCCCTTGGGCAAGGCACTTAACCCTAATTGCTCCTGTAAGTCGCTCTGGATAAGAGCGTCTGCTAAATGACTAAAAATGTAAAATGTAAAAAAAATGGTGCTCTTCATTGACTCAAATTGCAAATACATTCAAGAGAATACACTTATTCCCAAACACAAAATGGCTAAACTCTGGTGCCTTAGGCATGCCCTAGAGCTATTGTCAGAGGACAGACGAGGGTACCCCAGCCACATTATAATTCACACGGGCACAAACAACCTGAGGGCCCAGCAGGAAAGGGTGGCCAAAGCACTCAAGGGAGTGATTGAAAAAGCTTCTTCCACTTTCCCCAACGCACAAGTGGTAATCTCCACCCTGCTACCACGAAAAGACATTCACCTTGCCACCATACAGCGGGTGAATGCAAGCACTTCCCGGGATCAGACCTATGCCCATTCTGCCCCCCCCCCCCCCCACCCCTGCAGCAAGGACCTCAACATGACAGCAGGACATATGCCCAGGCCATGAGCAGAGCAACAGACCCAACCCCCACTAATACGCCCCATCCTGCGACCTGAGAGGAATGTATCAGATGCTCAACATGCTCTGCTCCCACCTACCACACGAAAACAACACTAGACACTTTATGGAACACAAAGCTTTTACAATGTCATCCTGGAATATCCAAGGCCTGAGGTCATCTGCCTTTGGCCTAAAGAGCAGGAACCCAGACTTCATCAAAGAAATTGAAAATACAGACATTGTCATCCTACAAGAAACATGGTATAGAGGAGACGGACCCACTGGTTGCCCTCTAGGTTACAGAGAGCTGGTAGTCCCATCCACCAAACTGCCTGGTGCTTAGTCCCCTCCTGTACTCCCTGTTCACCCCACGACTGAGTGGCGAAACACGACTCCAACACCATCATTAAGTTTGCTGATGACAGTGGCAGGACTGATCACCGACAACGATGAGACAGCTTATAGGGAGGAGGTCAGAGACCTGGCAGTGTGGTGCCAGGACAACAACCTCTCCCTCAATGTGAGAAAGACACAGGATTAACATCGACGGGCCTGTAGTGGAGCAGGTTGAGAGCGTGAAGTTCCTTGGTGTCTACATCACCAACAAACTATCATGGTCCAAACACACCAAGACAGTCGTGAAGAGGGCACGACAACACCTTTTCCCCCTCTGGACACTGAAAAGAATTGGCATGGGTCCCGAGATCCTCAAAAAGTTCTACAGCTGCACCATCGAGAGCATCCTGACCGGTTGCATCATCGCCTGGTATGGCAACTGCTCGGCATCTGACTGTAAGGCACTACAGAGGGTAGTGCGTACGGCCCAGTACATCATTAGGGCCAAGGTTCCTGCCATCCAGGACCTATATACTAGGCAGTGTCAGAGGAAAGCCCAAAAAATTGTCAAAGACTCCAGTCACCCAAGTCATAGACTGTTCTCTCTGCTACCGCACGGCAATTGGTACCGGAGTGCCAAGTCTACGACCAAAAGGCTCCTTAACAGCTTCCACCCCCAAAGCCATAAAACTGCTGAACAATTAATGAAATGGCCACCCGGACAATTTACATTGACCCCCCCCCCACTCCCCCCCTTTGTTTTTACACTGCTGCTACTCGCTGTCTATTATCTATGCATAGTCACTTTACCCCTACCTACATTACCTCGACTAACCTGTATCCCCGCACATTGACTCGGTACCGGTACCCCCTGTATATAGCCTCGTTTTTGTTATTTTATTGTGTTATATTTTCTTAACTCTTTCTTGAACTGCATTGTTGGTTAAGGGCTTCTAAGTAAGCATTTCGCGGGTAAATAATAAATAATAATAATAATATGCCATTTAGCAGACGCTTTTATCCAAAGCGACTTACAGTCATGCGTGCATACATTTTTTTTTTTTTTTTTTTTTGTGCATGGGTGGTCCCGGGGATTGAACCCACTACCTTGGCGTTACAAGCGCCGTGCTCTACCAGCTGAGCTGTGACATGTGACAAATAAAGTTTGATTTGAAACAGGGAAGAGACTCAGGGGGTATTCTAATTTGGTATAGAGCAGACCTAACCCACTCTATTAGATTAATCAAAACAGGAACTTTTTACATCTGGCTAGAAATTAATAAGGAAATTATCTCAACAGTGAAAAATGTCCTCCTGTGTGCTACCTATATCCCCCAAATAGAATCCCCATACTTTAACGATGACAGCTTCTCCATCCTAGAGGGGGAGCTCAACCATTTCCAGGCCCAGGGACATGTACTAGTCTGTGGCGACCTAAATGCCAGAACTGGAAAAGAAACCTGACATTCTCAGCACACATCGGGACAAACACCTACCTGGAGGTGACATTATTCACTCCCAAATATGCCCCCCTAGACACAACTATGACAAAACAAACAACAAAAATGGGTCACAAGTCCTGCAACTCTGTCGCACGCTGAGTCTGTACATAGTCAATGGTAGGCTTCGAGGAGACTCCTATGGTAGGTACACCTACAGCTCATCCCTTTGCAGTAGTACTGAAGATTACTTTATCACTGACCTCAACCCAGCGTCTCTCAGAGCGTTCACTAACACCCCTATGCAATCACAGCAAAATCACAGTCTACCTGAACAGAGCAATACTCAATCATGAGGCATCAAAGCCAAACGAACTGCACAATATTAAGAAATGCTGTAGATGGAAGGAAAGTAGCGTAGAAACCTACCAAAAAACAATTTTTTAGACAACTTCCTGGGCAAAACATTACACTGTAATAGTAAAGGTATAAACTTGGCAGTAGAAAACCTAAACAGTATATTTGACCTCTCAGCTTCCCTATCATATCTAAACATGTCAAACAGACAACCTAAGAAAAGTAACAACAGTGACAAATGGTTTGATGAAGAATGCAAAAACCTAAGAATTTTTTTAGAAACCTATCCAACCAAAAACATAGAGACCCAGAAAACCTGAGCCTACACCTTACTTTTTAGTAATTTAGCAGAAGCTCTTATCCAGAGCGACTTACAGGAGCAATTAGGGTTAAGTGCCTTGCTAAAGGGCACATCGACAGATTTTTCACCTAGTCGGCTCGGGGATTAGAACCAGCGACCTTTCAGTTACTGGCACAACACTCTTAACCACTAAGCTACCTGCCGCCCCACTATGGTGAATCACTAAAACAATACAGAAAATCACTACGGAAAAAGAAGGAACAGCACGTCAGAAATCAGCTCAAAGTAATTGAAGAATCCATAGAATCTAACCACTTCTGGGAAAATTGGAACACTAAACAAACAACAACACGAAGAGCTATCTATCCAAAACAGAGATGTATTGGTAAACCACTTCTCCAATCTTTTTGGCCCTATAACAAAGAACAAACAGCAAAAAAATATACATGATCAAATGCAAATCTTAGAAACAACTATTAAAGACTACCAGAACCCACTGGATTCTCCAATTACATTGAATGAACTACAGGATAAAATACAAACCTTCCAACCCAAAAAGGCATGTGATTTAATGGTGTCCTACATGAAATGATAAAATATACAGACCACAAATTCCAATTGGCTATACTTAAACTCTTTAACGTCATCCTCAGCTCTGGCATCTTCCCCAATATTTGGAACCAAGGACTGATCACCCCAATCCACAAAAGTGGAGACAAATTTGACCCAAATAACTACCGTGGGATATGCGTCAACAGCAATCTTGGGAAAATCCTCTGCATTATCATTAACAGCAGACTTGTACATTTCCTCAGTGAAAACAATGTACTGAGCAAATGTCAATTGGCTTTTTACCAAATTACACCACGTATTCACCCTGCACACCCCAATTGACAAACAAACAAACCAAAACAAAGGCAAAGTATTATCATACTTTGTTTACTTTAAAAAAGGCATGAGGGTCTGCTATGCAAATTGATGGAAAGTGGTGTTGGGGAAAAAGAAATGCGACATCATAAACTCCATGTACACAAACAACAAGTGTGGAGTTACCGCATTTGCCAGGACCACAAATACAAATTCCATCTAGACACCGTTTCCCTAGAGCACACAAATAACTACACTTACCTCGGCCTAAATATCACCGCCACAGGTAATAAACATCAGCGCCACAGGTAACTTCCACAAAGCTGGGAACGATCTAAGAGACAAGGCAAGATGCGCCTTGTATGCCATCAAAAGGAACATAAAATGTGACATACCAATTAGGATCTGGCTAAAAATACTTGAATCAGTTATAGAACCCATTGCCTTTTATGGTTGTGAGGTCTAGGATCTGCACACCAACCAATAATTCACAAAATGGGACAAACACCAAATTGAGACTCTGCATGCAGAATTCTGCAAAAAATATCCTTAGTGTACAACGTAAAACACCAAATAATGCATGCAGAGCAGAATTAGGCCGATACCCACTAACTATCAAAATCCAGAAAAGAGCCGTTAAATTCTATAACCACTTAAAAGGAAGCGATTCCCAAACCTTCCATAACAAAGCCATCACCTACAGAGAGATGAACTTGGAGAAGAGTCCCCTAAGTAAGCTGGTCCTATGGCTCTGTTCAAAAACACAAACAGACTCCACAGAGCCCCAGGACAACAACAACAACACAATTAGACCCAACCAAATCATGAGAAAACAAAAAGAGAATTACTTGACACATTGGAAAGAATTAACAAAAGACCAGAGCAAACTAGAATGCTATTTGGCCCTAAACAGATAGTACACAGTGGCAGAATACCTGACCACTGTGACTGACCCAAACTTAAGGAAAGCTTTGACTATGTACAGACTCAGTGAGCATAGCCTTGCTATTGAGAATGGCCGCCGTAGGCAGACCTGGCTCTCAAGGGAAGACAGGCTACAGTGGTTGAGAAGAGTCCCCTAAGCAAGCTGGTCCTGGAGCTCTGTTCACAAACACAAACAGACAAAATGAGGTGTAAACTTAGCTGCACTTCCTAAGCTCCTGCCAAATGTATGACCATTTTAGAGACACATATTTCCTTCAGATTACAGAGATCCACAAAGAATTCGAAAACAAACCCAATTTTGATCAACTCCCATATCTTTGGGTGAAATACCACAGTGTACCATCACAGCAGCAATATTTGTGACCTATTGCCACAAGAAAAGGGCAACCAGTGAAGAACAAACACCATTGTAAATACAACCCATATTTCTGTTTATTTACTTTACTTTAACTATTTGCTCATCGTTATAACACTGTACATAGACATAATATGACATTTGAATTGGCTCTATTCCTTTGAAACTTTTGTGAGTGTAATGTTTACTGTTCAGTTTTGATTGCTTATTTCACCTTAGTTTATCATCTATTTCACGTGCTTTGGCAATGTAAACATATGTTTCCCATGCCAATAAAGCCCTTTAAATTGAATCGAATTAAGAGAGAGAGAGAGAGAGAGAGAGAGAGACAGAGAGAGAGAGAGAGCGAGAGAGAGAGAGAGAGAGAGAGAGAGAGAGAGAGAGAGAGAGAGAGAGAGAGACAGAGAGAGAGACAGAGAGAGAGAGAGAGAGAGAGAGAGAGAGAGAGAGAGGGAGATCTGAAGCATCACCTGTCCTGTAGTCAAACCATTCTCTCCCTCCACTCCCCCCTCCTCTCCCCCATTCTCATTACCACACCTAATTACCTAATTAGGGAAGTGTCAAACTACACCCACCACCTCCCCTCCTTCTGTCCCTGCCCCCTCTTCCTCTCTATCCATCTCACCTGTTGAATCATTGAGTTAGTTTACCCCTTGAGGGGATTCTCAATCAGTTTTCAATCAGGAAGGTGGTTTGTTGTTTAAATATTGTGCTATATTGGGTTTCACCCCTGCTGAGAAAAAAAACAGCATAGACCAGCATAAATTTCAAGCTGGTCCATGCTGGTCTATGCTGGTCAGTGCTGGTTGGATGCTGGTCTGACTACAATACGTCTAGTTGGTCACGCTGGTCTGAACAGTATGGTCTAGCTGGTTATGTTGGCAGACCAGCCTTCGTAGTGTTTTCGCTGGTGACCAGCCTTCGTTGTGTTTTGGACAATGGTGACCAGCCTTCATTTGACATTTTACATTTTAGTCATTTAGCAGACGCTCTTATCCAGAGAGACTTACAGTTAGTGAGTGCATACATTATACACATGCCTTCACTGTGTTTTTGCTGGTGATCAGAATTCACTGTGTTTTTGCACGGGGTCGACCAGTGAAAACACTAGCACGGTCATTGTGGTCGATTGTGCAGCATCGGGTAACATTTATGTTTACACTATTATAGTGGGTAACCTTTTGAGGTGTGTTGGACTTAAAAATCATACAATGTGATTTTCTGGATTTTTGTTTTAGATTCCGTCTCTCAGAGTTGACGTGTACCTATGATAAAAAGTACAGACCTCTACATGCTTTGTAAGTAGGAAAACCTGCAAAATCGGCAGTGTACCAAATACTTGTTCTCCCCACTGTACATACAATTTTATTGTTTAACATGCTAGATAGCACTATTTGCACCTTTTGCGCTATTTGTAAGTGAATAGCCTTTATTTGTTACAGATACTAATTCATTGAATAGCAATAGCTACAGTTGAAGTTGGAAGATTACATATACTTAGGTTGGAGTCATTAAAACTTGTTTTTCAACCACTCCACAAATTTCTTGTTAACAAACTATAGTTTTGGCAAGTCGGTTAGGACATCTACTTTGTGCATGACACAAGTAATGTTTCCCAACAATTGTTAACAGACAGATTATTTCACTTATAATGCATTGTATCACAATTCCAGTGGGTCAGAGGTTTACATACACTAAGTTGACTGTGCCTTTAAACAGCTTGGAAAATTCCAGAAAATGATGTCATGGCTTTAGAAGCTTCTGATAGGCTAATTGACATAATTTGAGTCAATTGGAGATGTATCTGTGGATGTATTTCAAGGCCTACCTTCAAACACAGTGCCTCTTTGCTTGACATCATGGGAAAATCAAAATAAATCAGCCAAGACCTCAGAAAACAATTGTAGACCTCCACAAGTCTGGTTCATCCTTGGGAGCAATTTCCAAACGCCTGAAGGTACCATGTTCATCTGTACAAACAATAGTACGCAAGTATAAACACCATGGGACCACGCAGACATCATACCGCTCAGGAAGGAGACACGTTCTATCTCCTAGAGATGAACGTACTTTGGTGCGAAAAGTGCAAATTAATCCCAGAACAACAGCAAAGGACCTTGTGAAGATGCTGGAGGAAACAGGTACAAAAGTATCTATATCCACAGTAAAACGAGTCCTATATCGACATAACCTGAAAGGCTGCTCAGCAAGGAAGAAGCCACTGCTCCAAACCGCCATAAAAAAGCCAGACTACGGTTTGCAACTGCACATTGGGACAAAGATTGTCATTTTTGGAGAAATGTCCTCTGGTCTGATGAAACAGAAATAGAACTGTTTGGCCATAATGACCATCGTTATGTTTGGAGGAAAAAGGGGGTCGCTTGCAAGCCGAAGAACACCATCCCAACCGTGAAGCACGGGGGTGGCAGAATCATGCTGAGGGTGCTTTGCTGCAGGAGGGACTGGTGCACTTCACAAAATAGATGGCATCATCATGAGGAAGGACAATTATGTGGATATATTGAAGCAACATCTCAAGACATCAGTCAGGAAGTTAAAGCTTGGTCGCAAAATTGGTCTTCCAAATTGACAATGACCCCAAGCATACTTCCAAAGTTGTAGCAAAATGGCTTAAGGACAACAAAGTCAAGGTATTGGAGTGGCCATCACAAAGCCCTGACCACAATCATATAGAATAACTTATTCTTATTGTGGGAAGCTTGTGGAAGGCTGGTCACCAGCGAAAACACAACAAAGGCTGGTCACCAGCGAAAACACAACAAAGGCTGGTCACCAGCGAAAACACAACAAAGGCTGGTCACCAGCGAAAACACAACAAAGGCTGGTTCTATATCGTGGAGCTCCGCCCCATAGGGGAGCTCTGCTCCTAGTGGTTTACCCTCTGCCCTAAGGCAGCATCAGCCTGAGACAAAATTATGCACACACCTGCAGCCAATAGGAGTACAGGTGTCCCTATAAGAGGGGATGCCTCCCCTCAATCTGCCTCCCTTTATCTTCAGCGACTGGACTAGACTGAAGAAGCCAAGAAGAGACGAAGAGAAGACTCAGGACGAAGAAAACGCCGTCGATTTTCCAGATCATCGACGTCGTCCTACAATGAGCACACCAAGCTTATCCATAGGGTAAGTATTTAACAAAAGCTCTTTTCAGAGCTCAATGTCGCTGTTCCCCTTGGCGGCTGTCAGCCCCCCCGACATATGTTTCGTGGGTCGAGGGACACAGCACGCCAGGGACGGCCTCATTAATCCCCCACTATGCGCCAGCTGCGCCCTCCTTTTTTGAAGGAGTGGAAGCAGCGTTGGGCATTTTTAGGGAGGATATTCCTCTTGAGGATGTGCTATCAGTGTTAGTCTCAGCTTCTGAGGCATCATCTGAAGGCGCTGACTCAGGAGATGACAGGGCTATTGGGGAAGAAATGAATATTCTATTGGAACAATTCATTACACTGACCCAGATGTTTAATACCCCTTTTCCTTCGGGAAATTGTGAGGTCATTACATCCCTGGATGATGACGCCACAGCCTCTCTGTGCTCTGAATTCTCAGGTCTCATTGAGTGGGCTGCTAAACAGCGGGAGATTAAGCTGCCCCCCATTCCCTCCAACCCGGAAGTGGATATGAGGAAGGGCGGCCGTTACTCTCGCTACAGCTTGGCGTCAGACGGCGGCCTCCAGCAGCAAGGGAGCGGGCCTCGCCCCCCCCTGCAGTGCCAGAGGTGCCGGCGAGAGAGGTCATTAAAGCGTCATCCTGGCATCACCCGAAGGGCGGCCAGAAGAGACGGCGTTTATGACAGGCGAGGGGGAGAGAACGAAAGACGGCACAGCGCCTGCTGTGACCGAGCCCACTGTCCCCCCCACCCTACCGTTGAGTGTATGGATGAGAATGTTTTTTGTTGATGTGTGTAATAAAGAGTTGGCTCTACTTGACACTGTCAAAAAAGAGCCCCTTTTCCATAATACATCCGAGAGCGTTCGACCTTCCTCACTCTCGCTCTCTCTCTTACCGCTATGAGTGCAGCTCAGCCCACCATGGTGCGTTGCTGAATGCACACATAAGGCAGGTATATAAAAGGTATTAAGTGTACCTTATAAAGACCTCACTTTACAGACTCCTAGGAGTGCTGTAGTGAGTGTCTCACATAGCAGGCTGCAGTCTCAGCCAAATAATGGCATGATGACGCGACCGCTATTCGGGACGGCGCTCTGTCTCAGGCTAACGCCTCAGTCAGTGCAGTTCAGACCTGTGCTGCGTTCACGGAGGGCCTGATTACTACGGTTACGGGCGTAATCAACGTATCGGCGCCCCCGTTTCTCTCAGAACACGCTGATAATAACCACATTGGGGATGGCGCACTATCACAGACTAAGGTCTCTGTTAGTACGACCCAGACCCATGCTGCGTTCAAGAAGGGCCCGATTACCACGGTCACGAAGGTGCCCAGTGTATCGGCGCCCCCACCTTTTTCTGAACGCGCCCAGGCTCACCACACTGAGTGTAGTTCAGCCCACCAGAGGTGCAGAGCTGAACGCACACAGGAGGTGAAAGGAGGAATAATACCTAGACGCCGTCTTGGTTTATCTCAAAGAGACCTCACATTACAGACTTCAAGGAGTACTGTAGTGAGTGCCTCTCATAGCAGGCTGCAGTCTCAGTCAGGAGACATGATGACGCAGCCGCTAGTTGGGGATGGCGCACTATCGCAGACTAAGGTCTCGGTTAGTGCGATTCAGACCCATGTTGCGTTCACGGAGGGCCCGATTACCACGGTGACGAAGGTTCCCAGTGTATCGGCGCCCCTACTTCTTTCTAAACGCGCTAATACTCACCACACTGAGCGTAGTTCAGCCCACCAGAGGTGCAGAGCTGAACGCACACAGGAGGTGAAAGGAGGAATAATACCTAGACGCCGTCTTGGTTTATCTCAAAGAGACCTCACATTACAGACTCCAAGGAGTACTGTAGTGAGTGCCTCTCATAGCAGGCTGCAGTCTCAGTATCGGCGCCCCCACTTTCCTTTGAACGCGCTAATACTCACCACACTGAGCGTGACTCAACCCACCAGGGGTGCAGAGTTGAACACACACAGAAGGTGAAAGTTAAGAAGGTATCAAGGTGCCGCCTTGTTTTACCTCACAGAGACCTCATACTACAGACTTCTAGGAGTACTGTAGTGAAGGGCTCTGATAGCGAATTGCAGTCACCTAAGATGACGCAATCGCTTGCTGGGGATGGTGCCCTGCCGCAGGCTGTGGCCTCGGTCAGCGCAATTCAGACCCGCGATGCGTTCAAGGAGGGCAGGAATACGACGGTTACGGGTTTAACCGACGTCCCTGCTCCTCTTTCTTTCTCAGAACGCATTAATAGTTCCTCTCCCTTTCACGGGAGGCCCACCTTGGGCTGTTCCACCACTTCAATGTTGGGGAACAGTAGGCGGTAAGGGCCATAGAGGAATACAGGTCCTTCCTACTGGATGCACCACAGCTTCGCGCCCAGCCACTTTCTCTGCATTGCTGGCAGTGGCGAAGAAGCTGCACCCTCTCATGCTGGCTAGAACAGACGTTGCAGAAGGGTTATGCTCTCCAATTCCACCGGACCCCACCCCCGTTCAGGGGAGTGGTGGAGACGGTGATGAAAACGCCAGACAAAGTGGCCGCTCTGATGACAGAGATTACGGAACTTTTGGCGAAGGAGGCGGTGACAGTAGTTCCCCGGGAACAAAGGCACAAAGGGCTATATTCGCCGTATTTCCTAGTGCCCAAAAAGACGGGGGGAGTGAGGCCGATTTTGGATTTACGCATTCTCAACGAGAGCATAACCAAACGGCCCTTCCGAATGCTAACGACAAAACGTCTGCTGGAATGTGTCCAGAGAGGGGACTTTTGTACGAGCATAGACCTAAAGGACGCGTACTTTCATGTGCCGGTTCAGCCGCGTCACAGGAAGTTTCTGCGGTTCGCCTTTCAAGGGGTGGCGTACGAATACACGAGGATGCCATTTGGGTACGCCCTGGCACCTCGCACATTTTCCAAGTGTGTGGAGGCGGCATTGGAACCGTTGCGTCGTCAGGGAATACGGCTACTAGCCTACCTGGACGACCGACTGGTTCTTGCCCCGTCAGCAGAGCTGGCGATCACTCACACAACACAGACAGTGATAATAATAATAATAATAATATGCCATTTAGCAGACACTTTTATCCAAAGCGACTTACAGTCATGCGTGCATACATTTTTTGTGTATGGGTGGTCCCGGGGATCGAACCCACTACCTTGGCGTTACAAGCGCCGTGCTCTACCAGTTGAGCTACAGAGGACCTACAGTGATACATCTCACAAGTCTGGGGTTTGCTGTGAATTGGAAAAAGAGCGCGCCCTGGCCCACTCATCAGATTGTCTACCTGGGGATACAGCTAGACACTGTGAAGATGAGGGCTCGAATTTCGGACCCCCGAAGGGTAGCCTTGTTGCTAGCCCTGAGGAAGTGTCGTCCGAATCACACGGTGACGGCGCTGTCGATCATGTCACTTTTGGGTTCTCATGTCGTCAGCCCACTCTGTGGTTCCGCTGGGACTCCTGCATATGCGCAGGATGCAGCGATGGTTCGCCCAACTAAGACTAGACCCTTTGCGTCAACATCATCGGTTGGTGGTGGTTCCACTCTCGCTCAGTGCAGATCTGAACTATTGGAGAAACCCGCGCGTTCTCACGCACGGAGTCCCGATAGGAAAGGTGTCCTCTCACATCCCAGTATTCACGGATGCGTCCCTGACAGGATGGGGAGGGACATGTCAGACTCAAGCGATAGGAGGTGTGTGGCCTCAATCAGGTCGTCATATCAACCTCTTGGAGTTGGAAACGGTTCGACTGGTTCTGACCCACTTCGCGTCTACCCTTCGGGGTCGCGATGTGCTGGTCTGGTCAGACAACCGGACCACAGTAGCTCACATAAATCGCCAAGGAGGAGTCAGGTCTCCTGCTCTCCATCGGGCGGCAGAGGAATTGTGGCTGTGGGCTCACAAGCACCTTCGCTCATTGAGAGCAGCACACATTCCGGGCTACTTGAACGTAGGAGCAGACCTCATGTCAAGAGGGGGTCCTTGAGACGACGAGTGGTGTCTGCATCCGGACATTGTTCTCCAGATTTGGGAACAATTCGGGAGAGCCCAGGTGGACCTATTCGCGTCACGTGTGAACACGCAATGTCCTCTGTGGTTCTCTCTGAGGGAAGAGGACGAACCGCCACTGGGAAGGGACGCCTTTGCGCACAAACCATGGCCGAGAGTTCTCCTGTATGCATTCCCTCCGCTGTCCTGCATTCTCCCACTGCTAGCCAGGGTGAGGTCAGGGGGGCTGTCAGTGATACTGATAGCGCCCGATCGCCCGGGGGCTCCGTGGTTTGCGGAGATGAGTCAGATGTTGATTGCGCCACCTTGGCCAATTCCACATCGACGGGACGCGTTGTCTCAGGCGGGAGGCACGATAGGGAAATTGCCCATAATCGGCCAACCACTGAAGGCCTGGCTGCTGAGAGGGACAGGCTAGAGCGCCGTGGGTTATCTGATGCAGTGATCAGGACCATACAGGGTTCACGTGCCAGTTCCACTTCTAAGATGTATGCCAGTAGATGGAACGTGTTTCACGATGGTGTGTCACACAAGGTGTAGACCCCATGAGCTGTCAGGTAGAAGAGAGAGAGAGAGAGAGAGAGAGAGAGAGACAGAGAGAGAGAGAGAGAGAGACAGAGAGAGAGACAGAGAGAGAGAGAGAGAGACAGCAGAGAGAGAGAGAGAGAGAAGAGAGAGAGAGATGAGAGAGATAGAGAGAGAGAGAGAGAGAGAGATAGAGAGAGAGAGACCGGAGAGGGGGAGAGAGATGAGAGACGTGAGTGAGGAGAGAGGATGAAGGGAAGAGAGAGCGCGAGAGGAGAGAGAGAGCAGAGAGAGAGACAGAGAGGGATCTGAAGCATCACGTCCTGTAGTCAAACCTTTTCTCCATCCACTCCCCCCTCATCTCCCCCATTCCATTTACAAACCTAATTACCTAATTAGGGAAAGGTCAGACTACACCACCACCTCCCCTCTTTGTCCCTGCCCCCTCTTCCTCTTATCCATCTCACCTGATTGAATAATTTGAGTTAGTTTACCACTGGGGGATTCTCAACGTTTTCAATCAGGAAGGTGGTTTTGTTGTTTAAAATATTGAAAAACAGCATATTCAGCATACATTTAAGCGTTGTATGATGGTCAGTTACTGGTCAGAGCCTGTCTTAGCTGGTTATGCTGAAGATTCAGATTCGGTGTTTCCGATGGTGACCAGCTTAATTGGTTTGTTCGACCCTCACCCACCGGACAAAAGTATATACCAATGTAAGAGTGCTGTTCATTGACTACAGCTCAGCGTTCAACACCATAGTCACCTCCAAGCTCATCACCAAGCTCTGGACCCTGGGACTGAACACCTCCCTCTGCAACTGGATTCTGGACTTCCTGACGGGCCGTACCCAGGCGGTGAGAGTAGGCAACAACACATCTGCCACGCTGACCCTCAACACGGGGGCCCCTACAGGGGTGTGTGCTTAGTCCTGTCCCGTACTCCCTGATCACCCATAACTGCATGGCCGTGCACGACTCCAACACGCCTACTACTGTTGTGTCGTCTGCAAACTTGATGATTGAGTTGGAGGTGTGCATGGCCATGCAGTCATGGGTGAACAGGGAGTACAGGAGGGGGCTGAGCACGCACCCTTGTGGGCCCCCTGTGTTGTTTCCTACCTTCACCACCTGGGGGCGGCCCGTCAGGAAGTCCAGGACACAGTTGCACAGGGCGGGGTTCAGAACCAGGACCCTGAGCTTAATGATGAGCTTGGAGGGTACTATGGTGTTGAACGCTGATGAACAGCATTGAACAGCATTCTTAACTTGTTATTCCTCTTGTCCAGATGGGATAGGACAGTGTGCAGTTCGATGGCGATTGCATCGTCTGTGGATCTATTGGGGTGGTCAGCAAATTGAAGTGGGTCTAGGGTGTCAGGCAAGGTAGAGGTGATATGATCCTTAACTAGCCTCTCAAAGCACTTCATGATCACAAAAGTGAGTGCTACGGGGCGATAGTCATTTAGTTCAGTTACCTTTGCTTTCTTGGGTACAGGAACAATGGTGGACATCTTGAAGCAAGTGGGGACAGCAGACTGGGATAGGGAGAGATTGAATATGTCCGTAAATACTCCAGCCAGCGGGTCTGCGCATTCTCTGAGGACACGGCTAGGGATGCCGTCTGGGCCGGCAGCCTTGAGAGGGTTAACATGCTTAAATATCTTACTAATGTCGGCCACAGAGAAGGAGAGCCCACAGTCCTTGGTAGCGGGCCGCGTCGGTAGCACTGTGTTATCCTCAAAGTGGGCGAAAAAGGTGTTTAGCTTGTCCGGAAGCAAGACGTCGGTGTCTGCAACGTGGCTGGTTTTCCCTTTGTAGTCTGTGATTGTCTGTAGACCCTGTCACATACGTCTCGTGTCTGAGCCATTGATTTGCGACTCCACTTTGTCTCTATAATGACGTTTTGCCTGTTTGATTGCCTTACGGAGGGAATAACTACACTGTTTGTATTCGGCCATATTCCCAGTCACCTTGCCATGGTTAAATGCGGTGGTTCGCGCTTTCAGTTTTGCACGAATGCTGCCACCTATCCACGGTTTTCTGGTTAGGGTAGGTTTTAATAGTCACAGTGGGAACAACATTTCCTATACACTTCCTAATAAACTCAGTCACTGTATCTGTGTATTTGTCGATGTTATTCTCGTAGGCTACTCGGAACATATCCCAGCCGTGTGATCAAAACAATCTTGAAGCGTGGATTCCGATTGGTCAGACCAGCATTGAATAGTCCTTAGCACGGGTACTTCCTGTTTGAGTTTCTGCCTATAGGAAGGGAGGAGCAAAATGGAGTCGTGATCAGATTTGCTGAAGGGAGAGAGCGGGAGGGCCTTGTAGGCATCCCAGAAGTTGGAGTAGCAGTGGTCAAGTGTTTTTCCTAAGTAAGTACTGCAGTCAATGTGTTGATAGAAGTTCAGTAGCATTTTACTCAAATTTGCTTTGTTAAAATCCCCAGCTACAATAAATGCGGCCTCATGATATGTGGTTTTGTTTGCATAAAGTCCAGTGAAGTTATTTGAGAGCCGTCTTGGTATCGGCTTGAGGGGTAATATACACGGCTGTGAATATAACGAAGATAATTCCCTTGGGAGGTAATACGGTCTGCATTTGATTGTGAGGTATTCTAGGTCGGGTGAACAAAAGGACTTGAGTTCCTGTATGTAATCACAATCACAGTGGTTAATCATGAAACAAACACCCCCGTCTCTCTTCTTCCCGGAGAGTTATTTATTCCTGTCTGTTCGATGCACTGAGAACCCAGCTGGCTGTATGGACAAAGACAGTCTATCCCGAGAGAGCCATGTTTCCGTGAAACAGAGTATGTTACAATCCCCGATGTCTCTCTGGAAGGAGATTCTCACCCTGAGCTCGTCTACTTTATTATCCAGAGACAGAACATTAGTGAGTAATATACTCGGCAGCGGTGGATGGTGTGCGCGTCTCCTGAGTCGGACTAGAAGTCCACTCCGAATATCTTTTCCCCCTGCGGTGTTTTGGATCAGCCTCTGGAATCAGTTCAATTGCCCTGGGGGTACGAACAAAGGATCCAATTCGGGAAAGTCGTATTCCAGGTCGTAATGCTGGTGTGTTACCGCCGCTCTGATATTCAAAAGTTATGTCCGGCTGTAAGTAATAACACAAAACATTTCCTGGGCTAATAATGTAAGAAATAACACGCACAAAAACAAAATACTGCAAAGTTGCTTAGGAGCTAGAAGCAGAGCTGCCATGTCTGTTGGCGCCATTAAACATTACCGCTTGGTACGGCGACTGCAAGGCACCCAACCACAAGGCACTACAGATGCTGGTGAGAACGGCCCAGTACATCACTGGAGCCTTGCTCCCTGCTATCCCGGACCTATATACCAGGTGGTGTGAGAGAAAGAGATCAGGACAAATTTTGCCATTAAATAGTCTCCTACAACTGTAAATAGTCTGGAAATTAAATTGTATCCTACTACTGTAAATAGTCTGTACATTAAATAGTCTCCTGCTACTGTAAATTGTATGTAAATTAAAATAGTCTCCTACTACTATAAATAGTCTGTAAATTCAATAGTCTCCTACTACTGTAGATAGTCTGTAAATTCAATAGTCTACATGTACTGTTAATAGTCTGTGAATTAAATTAAAAGCAGATATGGGATATACATATTAAAATAAATTATAAATATAGTTTATTTATTTATTGTCCTTTCATGATGGAACGGTCCCCAACCCTATATCCTAGACACCCACCTGAGCGACCCACACACTAAGGAGAAATCCTTATCTGTTTTATAGGCCTACTGCAAGTAGCCCATACGCAGCCAAAACAGAAAGATAAATGCAGTCAGAGACAAACTAAAGCAGCACCGCCCCCTCAAGATTCTGAGCCTGCCTGGCAGGCTTGGTCCTACAAAGGCAAAAGCCCCCAGATGGGTGAGCATAATATACAAGGAACGTCTCAAAGCTGCTATTGAGAACCTTGTACCTAGCCGGTGGGGAATCCGGTGGGGTACCCCCACCCAGGTAGTGGCAGTGCTGGCAACACTGGCTGCAGTAACCCATTGGGAGGAGGTCACACTCGGACAATCAGAGAGGGGGCATGTTATAATGGCCCTGGTGGCACACAAAAAAATCAAAGGTCTGACTGCACAGAGATCCTTGGGAAAATGGTCACAACGGGAGACCAGAGGATGTGTGTTTAAGGGGATGAGCTCCATCAGCTAGGACTTGACATTGGTTCATCAAATCTCAACCGTTGTTGCTTAATTTTGCCTTCTCAAACAGTGCCTTTGGAAATTATTCAGACCCCTTGACTTTTCCACATTTTTGTTATGTTACAGCCTTATTCTAAAATGGATTAACCTCTACGGGATCGGTGTCCCGTATACGGGACGGTTGAGCTAACGTGCGCTAATGTGATTAGCATGACTGTTGTAAGTAACAGCAAAACTTTCCAGGACATAGACATGTCTTATATGGGCAGAACGCTTAAATTCTTGTTAATCTAACTGCACTGTCCATTTTACAGTAGCTATTATGGTGGAAAAAATACCATGCTAATGTTTGAGGAGAGTGCACAACAACAAAAAACGTATCACGGCAACTGGTTTGATACATTCACCTCTGAAGGTAAATAATGTACTTACATTCAGTAATCTTGCTCTGATTTGTCATCCTAAGGGTCCCAGAGATAAAATGTAGCATAGTTTTGTTTGATAAAATCCATTTTTATATTCCAATATAGGATCTGGGTTCTACAGTTTGAACCCCTGCGGTCTCTGGCTCCACACCCACCTCGCCCGGCCATCTAGATGTGTGAAAGTTAGTGTATAAGCTAATGATCCATCATGTATGACATTCCTGGGAGTGTGTAAACATACATTTTGTATTACCATATCATTGTTGTATGTTCTCTATGGTTATTGTACTTGAAAATGTATCAATTGACCAATTTGGGCACATTTGGGAAGACTTCATACAATATAGTCCAGTATTGCAAACGCTTCATTGGATCAATCTGAAACTTTACACACACTGCTTCCATCTAGTGGCCAAAAATCTGAATTGTGTCTAAACTGCAATATTATATTGTGGCCTTTCTCTTGCATTTCAAAGATGATGAACAAAAAAATAAATAGAAAACTCATGTTTTTTTGTTTGTATTATCTTTTACCAGATCTAATGTGTTATATTCTCTACATTAATTTCACATGTCCACAAAGTTCAGTGTTCCTTTCAAATGGTATCAAGAATATGCATATCCTTGCTTCAGGTCCTGAGCTACAGGCAGTTAGATTTGGGTCATTTTAGGTGAAATTTGAAAAAAAGGGCTAGATCCTTTAACAAAAAATCCTTCCGCAATCTTACACACAAACACCATAATGACAAAGCAAAAACATGTTTTTAGAAAATGTTTGCTAATTTATTTTAAAAAATCAAAACATCAGTACCTTATATATATAAGTATTCAGACCCTTTGCTATGAGATTCGAAATTGAGCTTCAGGTGCATCATGTTTCCGTTGATCATCCTTGAGATGTTTCTACAACTTGATTTGGAGTCCACCTGTGGTAAATTCAATTGATTGGACATGATTTGGAAAGGCACACACCTGTCTATATAAGGTCCCAGAGTTAACAGTGCGTGTCAGAGCAAAAAACAAGCCATGAGGTCAAAGGAATTGTCCGTAGAGCTCCGTGACAGGATTGTGTCGAGGCACAGATCTGGGGAAGGGGTAGCAAAAAATGTCTGCAGCATTGGAAGGTCCCAAAGAACACAGTGGCCTCCATCATTCTTAAATGGAAGAAGTTTGGAACCACCAAGACTCTTCTTAGAGCAGGCCGCCATGCCAAAACTGAGCAATCGGAAGAGAAGGGCTTTGGTCAGGGAGGGTGACCAAGAACCCAATGGTCACTCTGACAGAGCTCCCAGATTCCTCTGTGGAGATGGGAGAACCTTCCAGAAGGACAACCATCTCTGCAACACTTCACCAATCAGGCCTTTATGGTATGAGTGGCCAGACGGAAACCACTCCTCAGTAAAAAGGCAACATGACAAGCCCGCTTGGAGTTTGCCAAAAGGCACCTAAAGGACTCACAGACCATGAGAAACAAGATTATTTGGTCTGATGAAACAAAGATTGAACTCTTTGGCCTGAATGCCAAACATTCACGTCTGGAGGAAACCTGGCACCATCCCTACCGTGAAGCATGGTAGCAGCTGCACCGTGCAGTGGGGATGTTTTTCAGAGGCAGGGGACTGGGAGACTAGTCAGGATCAAGGGAAAGATGAACGGAGTAAAGTACAGAGAGATCGTTGATGAAAACCTGCTCCAGAGCGCTCAGGACCTCAGACTGGGTGAAGGTTCACCTTCCAACAGAACAACGACCCTAAGCGCACAGCCAAGACAACGCAGGAGTGGCTTCGGGACACATCTCTGAATGTCCTTGAATGGCCCAGTCAGAGCCCAGACTTGAACCCGATTGAACGTCTCTGGAGAGACTTGGAAAATAGCTGTGCAGAAACGTTCCCTATCCAACCTGACAGAGCTTGAGAGGATCTGCAGAGAAGAATGGGAGAAACTCCCCAAATACAGGTTTGCCAAGCTTGTAAGCATCATACCCAAGAACACTCAATACTGTAATCGCTGCCAAAGGTGCTCAACAAAGTATTGAGTAAAGGGTCTGAATACATATTTCAGTTTTTTATTTGTAATACATTTGCAACATTTGTAAAAACCTTTTTTTGCTTTGGTCATTATGGGGGGTATTGTGTGTAGATTGATGAGGGAAAAATACACATTTAAATAACTGTAGAATAAGGCTGTAATGTAAAACATTTGGAAGCAATCAAGGGGTCTGAATATTTCCGAATGCACTGTATATTTATTCGCACATCATGACCTTTATTGAGTGGGTCTCGGGGATGGAACAACTGTTTGTGGGGGAAGGGGGGAGTGTGTATGAATGTGTGTGTTGTGTTTTTTGTATCCCAGATCTGTTTGCTGCACAATATAGGATGCATCACAACAATTATTTTGCTAAAATTATAATTGCTTGCCAAAAATGTAATTTTTGTAATGGTTCATCCTGGTTAAGTTATAAGAATCCTTCGCATGAATGCCTAACATTACACCGCCTTTATGAATTGATTGTATCGGACATTAAGATACACAGGATGTTTGTATAGTAACACTACCGTTCAAAAGTTTAGGGTAACTTAGAAATGTCCTTGTTTTCGAACGAAAAGAAAAATCATTTTTTTTGTCCATTAAATAACATAAATTGATCCAAAAAACAGTGTAGACAATTGGTGAATGTTTGGGGAAAGCATTCATTGTAATGGAAATGGCTCTCTGCTGATTTCTGATTTGTAATGGAAATCTACATAGGCGTACAGAGGGCATATCAGGCAACCATCAGTCATGTGGCAATGCACGTTGTGTTTGCTATCCAAGTTTATCATTTTAAAAGGCTAATGATCATTAGGAAAACCCTTTTGCAATGATGTTAGAACAGCCTGAAAAATGTGTGTATTAAAGAAAGCAATAAACTGGCCTTCTGAGGACTAGTTGCGTTTCGGAGCATCAGGAAATTGTGGGTTTCAATTTACAGGCTCAAAATGGCCAGAAACAAGAAATTTCTTTCTGAACTCGTCAGTCTATTCCTGCTCTGAGAAATGCGGCTATTACAGCGAAAAAATTGCCAAGGAACAGAAATGAAGTCTGTACAACGTGTGTAACTACTTCCTATTTACAGAACAGCGCAAAATGGCCTCTAACCAGACTAGAAAAACTGAGCAAGAGGCAGATACATTAGAGTGTCTAGTTTGAGAAGAAACAGACGCCTCACAGGTCCTCAACTGGCAGCTTCATTAAATAGTTACCCGCAAAACACCGATCAACGGCAAACGTGAAGAGGCAACTCCGGGATGCTGGAACTTCTAGTCCGATTGCAAAGCAAAAAGCCATATCATCAGACTGGCCAATAAAAATAAAAGATTAGATGGCAGTCTGTGGATAGGCTTTTCTTTGCAATCTGCCCTCGAAAGGTCAGCTCCGGGAGTCGCCTCTTCAACTGTACGTTGAGACTGGTGTTTTGCAGTATTACTGAAAACAGGACCCAGTGGAAAATATAAAGATCCAGTCCATTAAAAAATAGGCCCCTTACACTTCAGTGTTGTGATGCAAAATTCTACCGAAATGCATAGCAATACAATTTAAAAAGATATCGTCGGATAGTATTCATCCTAATCAGACAGGTTTTTTTACATGGAACCATACATTGAGATAATATAAAGACAAGTACTGGAAACAGTAGAACACTTATGAAAAATCGGGGAAAAGTCTGGTATTCAAGTGATTTGAAAAAGGCTGTTGATGAAACGTACGACTTTGGAAGTTAATATAAATGCCTTGAATATTTAGACTTGGAGAATCTCTCTTATACCAATGGGTGAAAGTATGATTAGTATCCCTAGATTGTAAAATAGTAAATAATGGCTACTTCTCAGAAAGTTTTTAAACTGTCGAGGAGTAAAACAGTTGTCCACTATCGGCTATCTATTTATTATGGCCATCGAATGTTAAGCTAATAAATCAGATCCAAAAATAATATAAAGTGCACTAGAAATCAGGGCTTTAAAAATAAAGGTGTCATTGCATGCTGATGATTCGTGTTCTCTAAATCCACAATTTGGATCCACCACGCCGCATGGAGGATCTAGATACTTTTTCTAACCTTTGTGATTACAACAAATTAGTGAATCACCTAAAAAATACAACAGTTACATGGACCAGGTAGTGTACCAATAAAATTGTCGACGGTTTGAGTGGACCATACTCGATTATTTCATATAATATCAGAGAAACAATATCTCGCTACAATACATTTGAATAGAAGAAGTTAGCAATACCGGCTCTCACCCGGAGTCCGATAGAAAGGTGTCCTCTCACATCCCAGTATTCACGGATCGTCCTGACAGGAGGGAGGGACATGTCAGACTCAAGCGATAGGAGGTGTGTGGCCTCAATCAGGTCGTCATATCAACTCTTGGAGTTGGAAACGGTTTCGACTGTTTGACCCACTTCGGTCTACCCTTCGGGGTCGCGATGTGCGGTCTGGTCAGACAACCGACCACAGTAGCTCCATAAATCGCCAAGAGGAGTCAGGTCTCGTCTCCATCGGGCGGCAGAGGATTGTGGCTGTGGCTCACAGCACCTTCGCTCATTGAGAGCAGCACACCATTCCGGGCTACTTGAACGTAGGAGCAGACCTCATGTCAAGAGGGGTCCTTGAGACACGAGTGGTTGTCTGCAATCCGGACATTGTTCTCCAGATTTGGGAACAATTCGGGAGAGCCCAGGTGGACCTATTCGCGTCACGTGTGAACGCGCAATGGTCCTCTGTGGTTCTCTCTGAGGGAAGAGGACGAACCGCCACTGGGAAGGGACCCTTTGCGCACAAACCATGGCCGAGAGTTCTCCTGTATGCATTCCCCTCCGCTGTCCTGCATTCTCCCACTGCTAGCCAGGGTGAGGTCAGAGGGGGCTGTCAGTGATACTGATAGCGCCCGATCGCCCGGGGGCTCCGTGGGTTTGCGGAGATGAGTCCAGATGTTTGATTGCGCCACCTTGGCCAATTCCCACATCGACGGGACGCGTTTGTCTCAGGCGGGAGGCACGATAGGGGAAATTGCCCATAAATCGGCCACCACTTAAGGCCTGGCTGCTGAGTAGGACATGCTAGAGCGCCGTGGGTTATCTGATGCAGTGATCAGGACCATACAGGGTTCACGTGCCAGTTCCACTTCTACGTGTATCCAGTAGATGGAACGTGTTTTCACGATGTTGTGTCACACCAGTTGTAGACCCCCTGAGCTGTCAGGGTAGAGAGAGAGAGAGAGGAGAGAGAAGAGAAGAGAGAGAGAGAGATAGAGAGACGAGATAGAGAGAGAGAGAGCAGAGAGAGAGACGAGAGAGAGAGAGATAGAGATACAGAGAAAGAGAGCGAGAGAGAGAGAGAGAGAGATGAGAGAAGAGAGGAGAGAGAGAGAGAGAGAGAGATAGAGAGAGAGAGAGAGAGAGCGACAGGAGAGAGAGGGGAGAGGGATCTGAAGCATCACCTGTCCTGTAGTCAAACCTTTCTCTCCCTCCACTCCCCCCTCATCTCCCCCATTCTCATTACCACACCTAATTACCTAATTAGGGAAGTGTCAGACTACACCCACCACCTCCCCCTCCTTCTGTCCCTGCCCCCTCTTCCTCTCTATCCATCTCACCTGTTGAATCATTGAGTTAGTTTACCCCTTGAGGGGATTCTCAATCAGTTTTCAATCAGGAAGGTGGTTTGTTGTTTAAATATTGAAAAACAGCATATTCCAGCATACATTTTAAGCTGTTGTATGATGGTCAGTACTGGTCAGATGCATGGTCTAGCTGGTTATGCTGGAAGATCAGCCTTCGTTGTGTTTTCGCTGGTGACCAGCCTTAATTGTGTTTTTCGCCCTCACCCACCTGGACAAAAGTATATACCAATGTAAGAGTGCTGTTCATTGACTACAGCTCAGCGTTCAACACCATAGTCACCTCCAAGCTCATCACCAAGCTCTGGACCCTGGGACTGAACACCTCCCTCTGCAACTGGATTCTGGACTTCCTGACGGGCCGTACCCAGGCGGTGAGAGTAGGCAACAACACATCTGCCACGCTGACCCTCAACACGGGGGCCCCTACAGGGGTGTGTGCTTAGTCCTGTCCCGTACTCCCTGTTCACCCATAACTGCATGGCCGTGCACGACTCCAACACCATCATCAAGTTTGCTGACAACGCGATGGTGGTAGGACAGTTCACCGATGACAATGAGGCAGCCTATAGGGAGGAGTTCATTGAGGTGCCAGGACAACAACCTCTCCCTCAACTTCAGCAAGACAAAGGAGCTGATGGTGGACTAGAGGAAACAGAGGGGCGAGCTCGTCCCCATCCACATCAATGGGGCTGTAGTGGAGCGGGTCGAGAGCTTGAAGTGCCTCTGTGTCCACATCACTAAGGAATTAACATTGTCCACACCCACACAGTTGTGCAGAGGACATTACAAGTTTGTGAGGGTTTTAGGAGCCAAGCTTAATTTCTTCAGCCTCCTGAGGTTGAAGAGGCGCTGTTGCGCCTTCTTCACCACACAGTCTGTGTGGGTGGACGATTTCAGATCGTCAGTGATGTGTACGCCGAGGAACTTGAATCTTTCCACCTGCTCCACAGCGGTCCCGTCGATGTGGATAGGGGCGTGCTCCCTCTGCTGTTTCCTGAAGTCCACGATCAGCTCCTTTGTTTTGTCGACAATGAGGGAGAGGTTATTTTCCTGGCATCACACTCCCAGGGCCTTCAGCTCCTCTCTGTAGGCTGTCTCGTCATTGTTGGTAATCAAGCCTACTACTGTTGTGTCGTCTGCAAACTTGATGATTGAGTTGGAGGTGTGCATGGCCATGCAGTCATGGGTGAACAGGGAGTACAGGAGGGGGCTGAGCACGCACCCTTGTGGGCCCCCTGTGTTGTTTCCTACCTTCACCACCTGGGGGTGGCCCGTCAGGAAGTCCAGGACAAAGTTGCACAGGGCGGGGTTCAGAACCAGGACCCTGAGCTTAATGATGAGCTTGGAGGGTACTATGGTGTTGAACGCTGATGAACAGCATTGAACAGCATTCTTAACTTGTTATTCCTCTTGTCCAGATGGGATAGGACAGTGTGCAGTTCGATGGCGATTGCATCGTCTGTGGATCTATTGGGGTGGTCAGCAAATTGAAGTGGGTCTAGGGTGTCAGGCAAGGTAGAGGTGATATGATCCTTAACTAGCCTCTCAAAGCACTTCATGATCACAAAAGTGAGTGCTACGGGGCGATAGTCATTTAGTTCAGTTACCTTTGCTTTCTTGGGTACAGGAACAATGGTGGACATCTTGAAGCAAGTGGGGACAGCAGACTGGGATAGGGAGAGATTGAATATGTCCGTAAATACTCCAGCCAGCGGGTCTGCGCATTCTTGTGAGGACACAGCTAGGGATGCCGTCTGGGCCGGCAGCCTTGAGAGGGTTAACATGCTTAAATATCTTACTAACGTCGGCCACAGAGAAGGAGAGCCCACAGTCCTTGGTAGCGGGCCGCGTCGGTAGCACTGTGTTATCCTCAAAGTGGGCGAAAAAGGTGTTTAGCTTGTCCGGAAGCAAGACGTCGGTGTCTGCAACGTGGCTGGTTTTCCCTTTGTAGTCTGTGATTGTCTGTAGACCCTGTCACATACGTCTCGTGTCTGAGCCATTGATTTGCGACTCCACTTTGTCTCTATAATGACGTTTTGCCTGTTTGATTGCCTTACGGAGGGAATAACTACACTGTTTGTATTCGGCCATATTCCCAGTCACCTTGCCATGGTTAAATGCGGTGGTTCGCGCTTTCAGTTTTGCACGAATGCTGCCACCTATCCATGGTTTCTGGTTAGGGTAGGTTTTAATAGTCACAGTGGGAACAACATTTCCTATACACTTCCTAATAAACTCAGTCACTGTATCTGTGTATTTGTCGATGTTATTCTCGTAGGCTACTCGGAACATATCCCAGTCCGTGTGATCAAAACAATCTTGAAGCGTGGATTCCGATTGGTCAGACCAGCATTGAATAGTCCTTAGCACGGGTACTTCCTGTTTGAGTTTCTGCCTATAGGAAGGGAGGAGCAAAATGGAGTCGTGATCAGATTTGCTGAAGGGAGAGAGCGGGAGGGCCTTGTAGGCATCCCAGAAGTTGGAGTAGCAGTGGTCAAGTGTTTTTCCTAAGTAAGTACTGCAGTCAATGTGTTGATAGAAGTTCAGTAGCATTTTACTCAAATTTGCTTTGTTAAAATCCCCAGCTACAATAAATGCGGCCTCATGATATGTGGTTTTGTTTGCATAAAGTCCAGTGAAGTTATTTGAGAGCCGTCTTGGTATCGGCTTGAGGGGTAATATACACGGCTGTGAATATAACCGAAGATAATTCCCTTGGGAGGTAATACGGTCTGCATTTGATTGTGAGGTATTCTAGGTCGGGTGAACAAAAGGACTTGAGTTCCTGTATGTAATCACAATCACAGTGGTTAATTATGAAACAAACACCCCCGTCTTTCTTCTTCCCGGAGAGTTATTTATTCCTGTCTGTTCGATGCACTGAGAACCCAGCTGGCTGTATGGACAAAGACAGTCTATCCCGAGAGAGCCATGTTTCCGTGAAACAGAGTATGTTACAATCCCCGATGTCTCTCTGGAAGGAGATTCTCACCCTGAGCTCGTCTACTTTATTATCCAGAGACAGAACATTAGTGAGTAATATACTCGGAAGCGGTGGATGGTGTGCGCGCCTCCTGAGTCGGACTAGAAGTCCACTCCGAATACCTTTTCTCCGCCGGCGGTGTTTTGGATCAGCCTCTGGAATCAGTTCAATTGCCCTGGGGGTACGAACAAAGGATCCAATTCGGGAAAGTCGTATTCCAGGTCGTAATGCTGGTGTGTTACCGCCGCTCTGATATTCAAAAGTTATGTCCGGCTGTAAGTAATAACACAAAACATTTCCTGGGCTAATAATGTAAGAAATAACACACACAAAAACAAAATACTGCAAAGTTGCTTAGGAGCTAGAAGCAGAGCTGCCATGTCTGTTGGCGCCATTAAACATTACCGCTTGGTACGGCGACTGCAAGGCACCCAACCACAAGGCACTACAGATGCTGGTGAGAACGGCCCAGTACATCACTGGAGCCTTGCTCCATGCTATCCCGGACCTATATACCAGGTGGTGTGAGAGAAAGGCCCAAAAAGGACAAATTTTGCCATTAAATAGTCTCCTACAACTGTAAATAGTCTGGAAATTAAATTGTATCCTACTACTGTAAATAGTCTGTACATTAAATAGTCTCCTGCTACTGTAAATTTTATGTAAATTAAAATAGTCTCCTACTACTATAAATAGTCTGTAAATTCAATAGTCTCCTACTACTGTAGATAGTCTGCAAATTCAATAGTCTCCTGCGACTGTAAATAGTCTGTGAATTTGATAGTCTCCTACTACTGTAAATAGTCTGTATATTTAATAGTCTACATGTACTGTTAATAGTCTGTGAATTAAATTAAAAGCAGATATGGGATATACATATTAAAATAAATTATAAATATAGTTTATTTATTTATTGTCCTTTCATGATGGAACGGTCCCCAACCCTATATCCTAGACACCCACCTGAGCGACCCATACACTAAGGAGAAATCCTTATCTGTTTTATAGGCCTACTGCAAGTAGCCCATACGCAGCCAAAACAGAAAGATAAATGCAGTCAGAGACAAACTAAAGCAGCACCGCCCCCTCAAGATTCTGAGCCTGCCTGGCAGGCTTGGTCCTACAAAGGCAAAAGCCCCCAGATGGGTGAGCATAATATACAAGGAACGTCTCAAAGCTGCTATTGAGAACCTTGTACCTAGCCGATGGGGAATCCGGTGGGGTACCCCCACCCAGGTAGTGGCAGTGCTGGCAACACTGGCTGCAGTAACCCATTGGGAGGAGGTCACACTCGGACAATCAGAGAGGGGGCATGTTATAATGGCCCTGGTGGCACACAAAAAAATCATAGGTCTGACTGCACAGAGATGCAGGGAAAATGGTCACAACGGGAGACCAGAGGATGTGTGTTTAAGGGGATGAGCTCCATCAGCTAGGACTTGACATTGGTTCATCAAATCTCAACCGTTGTTGCTTAATTTTGCCTTCTCAAACAGTGCCTTCGGAAATTATTCAGACCCCTTGACTTTTTCCACATTTTGTTATGTTACAGCCTTATTCTAAAATGGATTAACCTCTACGGGATCGGTGTCCCGTATACGGGACGGTTGAGCTAACGTGCGCTAATGTGATTAGCATGACTGTTGTAAGTAACAGCAAAACTTTCCAGGACATAGACATGTCTTATATGGGCAGAAAGCTTAAATTCTTGTTAATCTAACTGCACTGTCCATTTTACAGTAGCTATTATGGTGAAAAAATACCATGCTAATGTTTGAGGAGAGTGCACAACAACAAAAAACGTATCACGGCAACTGGTTTAATACATTCACCTCTGAAGGTAAATAATGTACTTACATTCAGTAATCTTGCTCTGATTTGTCATCCTAAGGGTCCCAGAGATAAAATGTAGCATAGTTTTGTTTGATAAAATCCATTTTTATATTCCAATATAGGATCTGGGTTCTACAGTTTGAACCCCTGCTGTCTCTGGCTCCACACCCACCTCGCCCGGCCATCTAGATGTGTGAAAGTTAGTGTATAAGCTAATGATCCATCATGTATGACATTCCTGGGAGTGTGTAAACATACATTTTGTATTACCATATCATTGTTGTATGTTCTCTATGGTTATGTACTTGAAAATGTATCAATTGACCAATTTGGCACATTTGGGAAGACTTCATACAATATAGTCCAGTATTGCAACGCTTCATTGGATCAATCTGAAACTTTACACACACTGCTTCCATCTAGTGGCCAAAATCTGAATTGTGTCTAAACTGCAATATTATATTGTGGCCTTTCTCTTGCATTTCAAAGATGATGGAACAAAAAAATAAATAGAAAACTCATGTTTTTTTGTTTGTATTATCTTTTACCAGATCTAATGTGTTATATTCTCCTACATTAATTTCACATTTCCACAAAGTTCAGTGTTTCCTTTCAAATGGTATCAAGAATATGCATATCCTTGCTTCAGGTCCTGAGCTACAGGCAGTTAGATTTGGGTATGTTATTTTAGGTGAAATTTGAAAAAAAGGGCTAGATCCTTTAACAAAAATCCTCCGCAATCTACACACAATACACCATAATGACAAAGCAAAAACATGTTTTTAGAAATGTTTGCTAATTTATTTAAAAAAATCAAAACATCAGTACCTTGTTTATATAAGTATTCAGACCCTTTGCTATGAGATTCGAAATTGAGCTCAGGTGCATCCTGTTTCCGTTGATCATCCTTGAGATGTTTCTACAACTTGATTGGAGTCCACCTGTGGTAAATTCAATTGATTGGACATGATTTGGAAAGGCACACACCTGTCTATATAAGGTCCCAGAGTTAACAGTGCGTGTCAGAGCAAAAAACAAGCCATGAGGTCAAAGGAATTGTCCGTAGAGCTCCGTGACAGGATTGTGTCGAGGCACAGATCTGGGGAAGGGTAGCAAAAAATGTCTGCAGCATTGAAGGTCCCAAAGAACACAGTGGCCTCCATCATTCTTAAATGGAAGAAGTTTGGAACCACCAAGACTCTTCTTAGAGCAGGCCGCCATGCCAAACTGAGCAATCGGAAGAGAAGGGCTTTGGTCAGGGAGGTGACCAAGAACCCAATGGTCACTCTGACAGAGCTCCAGAGTTCCTCTGTGGAGATGGGAGAACCTTCCAGAAGGACAACCATCTCTGCAACACTTCACCAATCAGGCCTTTATGGTAGAGTGGCCAGACGGAAACCACTCCTCAGTAAAAGGCACATGACAGCCCGCTTGGAGTTTGCCAAAAGGCACCTAAAGGACTCACAGACCATGAGAAACAAGATTATTTGGTCTGATGAAACAAAGATTGAACTCTTTGGCCTGAATGCCAAACATCACGTCTGGAGGAAACCTGGCACCATCCCTACCGTGAAGCATGGTAGCAGCTGCACCGTGCAGTGGGGATGTTTTTCAGAGGCAGGGACTGGGAGACTAGTCAGGATCAAGGGAAAGATGAACGGAGCAAAGTACAGAGAGATCGTTGATGAAAACCTGCTCCAGAGCGCTCAGGACCTCAGACTGGGTGAAGGTTCACCTTCCAACAGAACAACGACCCTAAGCACACAGCCAAGACAACGCAGGAGTGGCTTCGGGACACATCTCTGAATGTCCTTGAATGGCCCAGTCAGAGCCCAGACTTGAACCCGATTGAACGTCTCTGGAGAGACTTGAAAATAGCTGTGCAGAAACGTTCCCTATCCAACCTGACAGAGCTTGAGAGGATCTGCAGAGAAGAATGGGAGAAACTCCCCAAATACAGGTGTGCCAAGCTTGTAGCATCATACCCAAGAACACTCAATACTGTAATCGCTGCCAAAGGTGCTCAACAAAGTATTGAGTAAAGGGTCTGAATACATATTTCAGCTTTTTATTTGTAATACATTTGCAAACATTTGTAAAAACCTTTTTTTGCTTTGTCATTATGGGGTATTGTGTGTAGATTGATGAGGGAAAAATACAATTTAAATAACTGTAGAATAAGGCTGTAATGTAAAAACATTTGGAAGCAATCAAGGGGTCTGAATACTTTCCGAATGCACTGTATATTTATTCGCACATCATGACCTTTATTGAGTGGGTCTCGGGGATGGAACAACTGTTTGTGGGGGAAGGGTGGGGAGTGTGTATGAATGTGTGTGTGTGTTTTTTGTATCCCAGATCTGTTGCTGCACAATATAGGATGCATCACAATAATTGTTTGCTAAAATTATAATTGCTTGCCAAAAATGTAATTTTGTAATGGATCCTGGTTAAAGTTAAGAATCCTTCGCATGAACTGCCTAAAAATAACATAAAATTGATCAAAAATACAGTGTAGACAATGTTAATGTTGGAAATGGCTATTGTAACTGGAAATGGCTGATTTTTAATGGAATATCTACATAGGCGTACAGAGGGCCATTATCAGCAACCATCAGTCCTGTGTTCCAATGGCACGTTGTGTTTACTAATCCAAGTTTATCATTTTAAAAGGCTAATTGATCATTAGAAAACCCTTTTGCAATTATGTTAGCACAGCTGAAAACTGTTGTGCTGATTTAAAGAAGCAATAAAACTGGCCTTCTTGAGACTAGTTGAGTTTCTGGAGCATCAGCAATTGTGGGTTCAATTACAGGCTCAAAATGGCCAGAAACAAAGAACTTTCTTCTGAAACTCGTCAGTCTATTCCTGCTCTGAGAAATGAAGGCTATTACATGCGAAAAATTGCCAAGAAACTGAAGATCTCGTACAACGCTGTGTACTACTTCCTTTACAGAACAGCGCAAACTGGCTCTAACCAGAATAGAAACTGAGCAAGAGGACAAATACATTAGAGTGTCTAGTTTGAGAAACAGACGCCTCACAGGTCCTCAACTGGCAGCTTCATTAAATAGTACCCGCAAAACACCAGTCTCAACGTCAACAGTGAAGAGGCAACTCCGGGATGCTGACCTTCTAGTCAGATTGCAAAGCAAAAGCCATATCTCAGACTGGCCAATAAAAATAAAAGATTAAGATGGGCAGTCTGAGATATGGCTTTTTCTTTGCAATCTGCCTAGAAGGTCAGCATCCCGGAGTCGCCTCTTCACTGTTGACGTTGAGACTGGTGTTTTGCAGGTAGTACTGAAACAGGACCCAAGTGGAAAATATAAAGATCCAGTCCATTAAAAAATAGGCCCCTTACACTTCAGTGTTGTGATGCAAAAATTCTACCGAAATGCATAGCACATAGAATTAAAAAGATATCGTCGGATAGTATTCATCCTAATCAGACAGGTTTTTTACATGGACAATACATTGGAGATAATATAAGACAAGTACTGGAAACAATAGAACACTATGAAAAATCTGGGAAAACAGGTCTGGTATTCATAGCTGATTTTGAAAAAGGCTGTTGATAAAATACGACTGGAATTTATATATAAATGCCTTGAATATTTAGACTTTGGAGAATCTCTTATACCAATGGGTTAAAGTTATGTATAGTATCCCTAGATGTAAAATAGTAAATAATGGCTACTTCTCAGAAAGTTTTAAACTGTCGAGGAGTAAAACAAGGTTGTCCACTATCGGCATATCTATTTATTATGGCCATCGAAATGTTAGCTAATAAAATCAGATCCAAAAATAATATCAAGTGCCTAGAAATCCAGGGCTTAAAAATAAAGGTGTCATTGCATGCTGATGATTCGTTTTCTTCTAAATCCACAATTTGGATCCCACCACAGCCTCATAGAGGATCTAGATACTTTTTCTAACCTTTGTGGATTACAACCAAATTATTGGATCACTAAAAAATACAACATTTACATGACCATGTAGTTTACCAATAAAATTGTCTGACGGTGATGTGGACATACTCGATATTCATATCATATCAGAGAAATAAATAATCTCGCTATAATACATTTGAATAGAAAGTTAGCAAATACAGATAAGATATTGCTACCATGGAAAGGAAAATACCTGTCTATTTGTTGAAAAATCTGCCTGATTAACTTTTTAGTCATAACCCAGTTTACCGATTTGTTTATGGCCTTGCCTACACCTAGCAACCAGTTTTTTTAATTATATGAGAAAAAAAAGATTCCATTTGATTTCAAACAGCAAGCCATATAAAATTAAACAGGCCCAATTATATAATGAATATGAATTCGGAGGGCAGAAATGATTTAATATTAAAGCATCAGACCTCTCACTAAAGGCTTCAGTCATACAAAAGTTATACTTAAATCCAAACAGGTTCTCCAGCACATTACTAAGAATGTCTCTCTCCATATTCAATAATGGCATTTATCCCTTTATTCAGATTACAACCTCTCACGTTCAGTTTTTTGAAAATGAAATAATCTCCAAAATATCGCTGCAATTTCAGTTTAATCCACCAGAAAAGACAGAAAAAATAGTACAACATTTTTTAAAAGGTATAATCTTTGTAAATTATATCATAAATAGGACTGGTGGAGTTATGTCACACATGCACCAACTCACAAACCAGGAATTGACAAAATGGGACAAACACCAAATTGAGACTCTCCATGCAGAATTCTGCAAAAACATCCTCTGTGTACAACATACAACACCAAATACTGCATGCAGAGCAGAATTAGGATGATTCCTGCTAATTATCAAAATCCAGAAAATAGCGTTTAAATTCTACAACCAACTAAAAGGAAGCAATTCCCAAACCTTCCATAACAAAGCCATCACCTACAGAGAGATTAACCTAGAGAAGAGTCCCCTAAGTAAGCTGATCCTGGGGCTCTGTTCACAAACACAAACAGACCCCAACAGAGCCCCAGAACAGCAACACAATTAGACAAACCAAATCATGAGAAAACAAAAAGAGAATTACTTGACACATTGGAAAGAGTTAACCAAAAAACAGAGAAAACTGGAATGCTATTTGGTCCTTAATAGAGAGTACACATTGGCAGAATACCTGACCACTGTGACTCACCCAAACTTAAGGAAAGCTTTTCATATGTACACATTCAGTGAGCATAGCCTTGCTATTGAGAGAGGCCGCCGTAGGCAGAGCTGGCTTTCAAGAGAAGACAGGCTATGTGCAGACTGCCCACAAAATGAGGTGGAAACTGAGCTGCACTTCCTAACCTCCTGCCAAATAAATGACCGTATTAGAGACACATATTTCTCTCAGATTACAAAGACCCACAAAGAATTCGAAAACAAAATCGAATTTTGATAAACTCCCATATCTATTGGGTGAAATACCACAGTGTGCCATCACAGCAGCAATATTTGTGAACTGTTGCCACAAGAAAAGGGCAACCAGTGTAGAACCAACACCATTGTAAATACAACCCATATTTATACTTTTGTTTATTATCTATTTCACTTGCTTCGGCGTAAACATGTTTCCCATGCCAATGAAGCCCTTTGAATTGAAAGGAATTGAGAGAGAGAGAGAGAGAGAGAGAGAGAGAGAGAGAGAGAGATAGGGGGGGAGCGAGAGAGAGAGAGATAGGAGACGAGAGATCAGAGAGAGAGAGAGAGAGATATAGATAGATAGAGAGATAGCAGAAGAGAGAGAGATAGAGAGAGAGAGGAGAGAGAGAGAGAGAGAGAGAGATTTTCACTTCAAAGGAAGACAGACCTGATAGATTAAAGCGCAGCTGGACTCAAAGACACTCAGGTGGTCCTACACACAGGTGTCCTGAGGGTGTGTATGACTGAGGGTGAGTGTGTGAGTGAGTGAGCCCACGCCCAAAAAAGCCCAAATGATTGTGCCGGTATCCAATGCATATATGATATAGGCTACTGCACATTACTCACGACAGAAAAACATAAAAGCCCATAGATGTAGCTAGCTATATGCTCTCTTGGGTAAATAAATGAAACTAGCTCCAGTAGGCTAATCTTTTAGAGTGTGAACTGCATTACTGTACTGTATTGTATTATACTGTATTATACAGTACGGACTGGAATTACACACATCGTTCAATCCATGATAAAGCAGGGAGAGAACATGCGATTCTGGTGCAGCACATGAGGCCTACAAAGTTACAAGTATAGGCTAGAGAACTAGATTTTAATTTGGGAATAAATTGGGCCTATTTGTATAATTAGTAGGCTGACTCATATTTACCTTTCATAATATTTCCCCTAATGTTATTAGCCTACCTCCTCCTTCTCTCTCTAGTGTTGCTTCATTCCTTCCTCACTTTCAACAGTTAAATGAAGTAAGTGTAGTTGTCCTTATCTTCATCATTCTAATGAAATGCTTGAATAATGTTGGACTAGAATTAGATGCAGAAATCGTTCACTTCTCTTCACGAAGATTGAATGGTTACGGGTCTGAATAAATAACTGCTATAGCCTACCGCCATCTCTCTTCTTTCAATACTAACCGAGAGTTCTATTGGCTGCTGTATTTAACATTCAGCAAACAAGAGCTTGCGTCCCTCTTTGAATAGTCTATTGGTATAAGACATGCTAAGAAAATGTCCAGCAAGTCTAGCTTTTCCTGCATGGGACACCAAGAAGGTTTTTTAAGGAGCCAGCGGAGCACAGGTGCGTGCGTATTGCGCAAGAGACAGAGGCTATAAGTTAGAAGCTTATTATGCATAACCCATCATTAATTAGCTCAATATAAGGCTAATGCTGCATTCAATCTATTACCTGAAAGAGGTAGGCTAGGACATCTATAAATAGGCCTATATATCAGTCTTGAACAAGATTATCTATTTTGGATGCAATTTGAATGGAGTTGATAGAGAGAGAGAAAGACTGTGCGAGAGTGCTCGCCCGTGCACAGATTTAAAGCAACGATATTCGAGTGATAAGGTATTTTAAAACTCTGCAGCTGCAATAAAAAATTAAATAATGTTTCAATAAAATTAGAATGTGACGCCTGAAAGCCAGATGGAGATGGGTAAATTAGACGCGCATTCGGTCTTTATATTACTGTAGTAGAGACTATGCTGCAGCAAATGTAGGTCTACCTGTCACAAGAAAAAAAATGACCATGATAAGATGATAAGTCTACATGTATCATCTGAGATGGGCTGTCTGTCCCCAACCTGAGCGTTGATGATTCATCATGCAGAGGCCGTAGAGAAACCAGATTAAGACATTGCATATAATTTAACAGTTCCATTTCACACCATGCTGTTCATTTAAATAACTAATGATAATTTACTGTTTTCTTGCAGTTATTTATCCCAGGACAATGTGGTGGTTATGGGAAGTAAATCCCAGTAAATCTCGGTAACCGGGTTCCTGCCATTCAACCCTAGTGTGTGTGTGTGTGTGTGTGTGTGTGTGAGTGAGTGTTTAAGTGTATGAGTGAGGGACAAATCAAAACTTGCTCTCCCCTGTACCTTTCATACCCAGGGACAGAACAAACCTTCCTCTTCCCTGTACCCCCTCCTTCCACTCCTTCCTCTCCTCCCCCTCTTCCTCTTCTCTCTTACTCATTACCACAATAGTTAGTCTCTTTCTCTCTCTCTCTCTCTCTCTCTCTTAATCGGCAATGAGATGGATTCACTGTACAATTTCAGATGATCGTCATGGTTGCTCAGTCTCCCCCCCCCCCCCCTCTCAGTTCCCCATCCCCTCTCTCCCTCCTCCTCCCCCCTCTCAGTTCCCCATCCTCTCTCCCTCCTCCCCCCCCCTCTCAGTTCCCCATCCCCTCTCTCCCTCTTCCTCCCCCCTCTCAGTTCCCCATCCTCTCTCCCTCCTCCCCCCTCTCAGTTCCCCATCCTCTCTCCCTCTTCCTCCCCCCTCTCAGTTCCCCATCCTCTCTCCCCCCCCCCCTCTCAGTTCCCCATCCTCTCTCCCTCCTCCCCCCTCTCAGTTCCCCATCCTCTCTCCCTCCTCCTCCCCCTCTCAGTTTCCCCATCCTCTCTCCCCCCCCCCCCCCCTCTCAGTTCCCCCATCCTCTCTCCCTCTTCCTCACCCCTCTCAGTTCCCCATCCTCTCTCCCTCTTCCTCCCCCCTCTCAGTTCCCCATCCTCTCTCCCTCCTCCCCCCTCTCAGTTCCCCATCCCCTCTCTCCCTCCTCCTCCCCCTGTCACGGTTTCGGCCGAGGCTGCTCCTCCTCCTGGTTCGGGCAGGCTTCGGCGTTCGCCGTCCCCGGAATACTAGCTGCCACCGTTGTATGTTTCGTGTGTTGATTGCTTTGGTCTGTCTGTTACACCTGTGTCTGTTTGTGTCCTAATTACGTGTCCTATAAGTTCCCTGTTTTGTGTTAGTTATATTGTGTGTTGTTGTCCGCGTGTCTTTTGAGCTGCGTGTTTTGCGCTCTTCATGGTATTTGTTTTACGCATGTTGCGTACTGTTTCTCGCCTCTGTATTTTCGAGGTCGTGTATGGATTATTGTACACTTTACTAATAGTAAAGTTTGTTGGACTAAACCTCTGTGTCCTGCGCCTGACTCCTCATCACATCCACATCGGTACCATACTGACACATCCACATCGGTACCATACTGGAGTCAGCAGGATCAGCGACGACAGCCTGGTCACTAGAAGAACGGCTCAGTCAGCAGGACTCCATGATCCGGCAACTGGAGGCCGTTCTAGGCGAGGTGTCCAACACTCTGCACCGGTTGGCTAGTGGAGAGGTGCCCACGTCCACAGGTGGCACCTCCTTCCCAGCATAAGGCGCTAGTAGATTCAGGCGCAGCTGGGAACTTTATTGATCGGGCATTTTGTGCTAGGTTAGGAATTCCCCTTCGGCCGGTAGAAGTTCCATTCCCTGTCCATGCATTAGACAGCCGGCCGTTGGGGTCGGGTCTGATCAGGGATGTCACAGCACCGCTGACGATGACTACGCAGGGGGGTCATGAGGAAATCATTCAGTTCTATCTGATTGACTCTCCTGCGTACCCAGTGGTGTTGGGGCTTCCCTGGTTAAGCACCCACGATCCTACCATAGCGTGGCAACAGAGGGCTCTTATGGAGTGGTCTGCCCAGTGTGTAGGGAGATGTCTAGGTGTTTCCATAGGGGCGACCTCGGTAGAGAGTCCGAACCAAGTGCCCGCACTGCGCATTCCCCCCGAGTATGAGGATTTAGCACTAGCGTTTAGCAAATCGAGGGCAGCACGGCTACCTCCTCATAGACAGGGGGACTGTGCGATAAATCTCCAGACCGGAGCAGCTTTTCCCAGGAGTCATGTGTATCCCCTGTCTCAAGAGGAAACTGCGGCTATGGAGACTTACATAGCCGAGTCCTTGGCACAGGGATACATACGGCCCTCTACTTCTCCGGTCTCCTCGAGTTTCTTCTTTGTGAAGAAGAAGGACGGGGGATTGCGCCCGTGTATTGATTACCGTAGTCTCAATCAGATCACAGTAAAATACAGTTACCCACTTCCACTGATTGCGACGATGACGGAGTCATTACGCGGAGCGCGGTTCTTCACAAAGTTGGATCTCAGGAGCGCGTACAATTTGGTGCGCATTAGGGAGGGGGATGAATGGAAAACAGCATTTAGCACCACCTCGGGTCATTACGAGTATCTCGTCATGCCGTACGGGTTAATGAATGCTCCTTCAGTCTTCCAATCCTTTGTTGATGAGATTTTCCGGGACATGCATGGGCAGGGTGTAGTGGTGTACATTGACGACATTCTAGTGTATTCTTCTACACGAGCCGAGCATGTAGCCCAGGTGCGCCGAGTATTGAGACGACTGTTGGAGCATGACTTGTATGTCAAGGCAGAGAAATGCCTGTTCTTCCAGGAGTCCGTCTCTTTTTTGGGTTATCGGTTGTCTGCGTCTGGCGTGGAGATAGAGGTAGATCGGGTATCGGTTGTGCGTAATTGGCAAACTCCAACCACCGTAAAAGAGGTGCAGCGGTTCTTGGGTTTTGCTAATTACTACCGGAGGTTTATCCGGGGCTTTGGACAGGTTGCAGCTCCCATTTCGTCCCTGCTAAAGGGGGGTCCGGTGCGCTTGCAGTGGTCAGCTGAGGCGGACAGGGCATTTGTCAAGCTGAAGAACCTGTTCGCCTCGGCCCCGGTGCTGGCGCATCCGGATCCCTCTTTGCCTTTCCAAGTAGAGGTGGACGCGTCCGAGACCGGTATTGGGGCAGTCCTGTCACAACGGTCCGGCACGCCACCTAAGCTCCGCCCCTGTGCGTTCTACTCCAAGAAGCTCAGCTCGGCGGAGCGCAATTATGACGTTGGGGACAGGGAGCTGTTAGCTGTAGTCCAGGCCCTAAAGGTGTGGAGGCATTGGCTTGAGGGGGCTCAACACCCTTTTCTCATTCTGACTGATCACCGTAACCTGGAGTACATCCGGGCAGCTAGGAGATTGAACCCTCGTCAGGCTAGGTGGAACATGTTCCTGACCCGGTTTGTTTTTAAGATCACATACATCCCTGGGTCCCAGAACGGTAAGGCAGACGCACTGTCCCGGCAGTATGACACGGAGGAGAGGTCCATTGAGCCTACTTCCATACTGCCGGAGTCTTGTCTGGTGGCTCCGGTAGTATGGGAGGTCGATGCGGAAATCGAGCGGGCGCTGCGTACCGACCCTACTCCCCCCGAGTGTCCTGTGGGGCGGACGTACGTTCCGCTCGAGGTTCGTGATCGGCTTATTTCTTGGGCTCATACATCACCCTCCTCTGGACATCCTGGTATTGGTCGGACGGTGCACTGCCTTAGCGTGAAATACTGGTGGCCAACGTTAGCCAGGGATGTGAGGGTTTATGTCTCCTCCTGCTCGGTGTGTGCCCAGTGTAAGGCACCTAGACATTTGCCCAGGGGTAAGTTACATCCTCTGCCCGTTCCACAACGACCATGGTCCCACCTCTCGGTAGATTTTGTGACCGATCTACCCCCTTCCCAGGGTAATACCACCATTTTGGTCATTGTGGATCGGTTTTCTAAGGCCTGTCGTCTCCTCCCACTGCCGGGTCTCCCTACTGCCCTACAGACCGCCGAGGCCCTCTTTACCCACGTGTTCCGGCACTATGGGGTCCCCGAGGATATTGTGTCCGACCGAGGTCCCCAGTTCACCTCCAGAGTCTGGGGGGCTTTCATGGAACGCCTGGGGGTCTCGGTTAGCCTTACCTCGGGGTACCACCCAGAGAGCAATGGGCAGGTTGAACGTGTGAACCAGGATGTGGGTAGGTTTTTGAGGTCCTATTGCCGGGACCGGCCGGAGGAGTGGTCGAGGTATATCCCCTGGGCAGAGATGGCCCAGAACTCTCTCCGCCACTCCTCCACCGGATTAACACCTTTCCAGTGTATTTTAGGGTATCAGCCGGTCCTGGCACCGTGGCACGAGAGCCAGACCGAGGCCCCTGCGGTGGACGAGTGGATTCGGCGCTCGGAAGAGACGTGGGACGCTGCCCATGTCCATCTGCAGCGTGCCATCCGTCAACAGAAGGCGAGCGCCGATCGCCACCGCAGTGAGGGGCCGGTGTACGCACCGGGAGATCGAGTCTGGCTCTCGACTCGAAACCTGCCCCTCCGCCTGCCCTGCCGGAAGCTGGGTCGGCGGTTTGTGGGGCCCTTCAAAGTCCTGAGAAGATTGAACGAGGTGTGTTACAGATTACAACTGCCTATTGAGTACAAAAATATTAACCCCTCGTTCCATGTGTCTCTTCTCAGGCCGGTGGTAGCTGGTCCACTCCAAGAGGAGGAGATAGGAGAGACCCCTCCACCCCCTTTGGACATCGAGGGGGCACCGGCGTACAGGGTCCGGACTATATTGGACTCGAGGCGCCGGAGGAGTGGTCTCCAGTATCTCGTGGAGTGGGAGGGGTACGGTCCGGAGGAACGGTGCTGGGTGCCTAGGAGGGACATCCTCGACCCATCCCTCCTGACAGAGTTCCACCGTGGGCATCCCACGCGCCCGGGTCTGCGTCCTCCTGGCCGTCCCCGAGACCGGGGTCGGCGCACGGCTGGAGCCGCGCGTCAAGGGGGGGGTACTGTCACGGTTTCGGCCGAGGCTGCTCCTCCTCCTGGTTCGGGCAGGCTTCGGCGTTCGCCGTCCCCGGAATACTAGCTGCCACCGTTGTATGTTTCGTGTGTTGATTGCTTTGGTCTGTCTGGTACACCTGTGTCTGTTTGTGTCCTAATTACGTGTCCTATAAGTTCCCTGTTTTGTGTTAGTTATATTGTGTGTTGTTGTCCGCGTGTCTTTTGAGCTGCGTGTTTTGCGCTCTTCATGGTATTTGTTTTACGCATGTTGCGTACTGTTTCTCGCCTCTGTATTTTCGAGGTCGTGTATGGATTATTGTACACTTTACTAATAGTAAAGTTTGTTGGACTAAACCTCTGTGTCCTGCGCCTGACTCCTCATCACATCCACATCGGTACCATACTGACACCCCCTCTCAGTTCCCCATCCTCTCTCCCTCCTCCTCCCCCCTCTCAGTTCCCCATCCTCTCCCCCCCCCCCTCTCAGTTCCCCATCCTCTCCCCCCCCCCCCCCTCTCAGTTCCCCCATCCTCTCTCCCCCCCCCTCTCAGTTCCCCATCCCCTCTCTCCCCCCCCTCTCAGTTCCCCATCCCCTCTCTCCCTCCTCCTCCCCCCTTTCAGTTCCCCATCCCCTCTCTCCCTCCTCCTCCCCCCTCTCAGTTCCCCATCCTCTCTCCCTCCTCCTCCCCCCTCTCAGTTCCCCATCCCCTCTCTCCCTCCTCCTCCCCCCTCTCAGTTCCCCATCCTCTCTCTCCCTCTTCCTCCCCCCTCTCAGTTCCCCATCCCCTCTCTCCCTCCTCCTCCCCCCTCTCAGTTCCCCATCCCCTCTCTCCCTCCTCCTCCCCCCTCTCAGTTCCCCATCCCCTCTCTCCCTCCTCCTCCCCCCTCTCAGTTCCCCCATCCCCTCTCTCCCTCCTCCTCCCCCCTCTCAGTTCCCCATCCTAAAAAAGGACCACAAACGCTGATCTCTGGTCAGTTTTGTCTTTCTCTACCTTATTGTATTTCTCTACCTTATTGTATTTCTCTACCTTATTGTATTTCTCTACCTTATTGTATTTCTCTACCTTATTGTATTTCTCTACCTTATTGTATTTCTCTACCTTATTGTATTTCTCTACCTTATTGTATTTCTCTCCCTTATTGTATTTCTCTACCTTATTGTATTTCTCTACCTTATTGTATTTCTCTACTGGCAAACGTCAGCTGATCCTAGATCTGTGCTTAAAGTTCCAATTATTTGATTTGACAATTGAAAGTACATAAAAAAATGTGCACCACGGCAACAGATACATATACCAATACCAATAATGTAGCTATTTTAATCTCAGTATCACTTTCTGGGTAACATTAACTTACTGTGATTGTTTCCAATTAAAACGGTCAAAAATAAACAAAAATTGCTTCTTAGCAAAGATCAATTTCTCAAGCAAGAATTTTGCCAGGACTGTCTGGGAGTGGTCTTAGTGGGGAGGGGAAAACTGAAAACTAGCTGTTATTGGCAGAGAGGTTTGGAACTCTCTTTCTTATTGGTCTATTAACTAATTTACCACCTGGTGATGTCACCAAGCAGGCCAAAACTCCATCGCCACAAAAAACAGGCTGAAATTTCAGGCTTTTTAAACAGCTCTTACACTTAAATGGCATAATTTTCACAATGTCACAGTATTATTCCAAGCCCAAAGTGTGGACATATAAAACACAGGAAAATCATGTTTTTGACTGCACTGGGCCTTTTAAGGGCAACTTCCACCCATGGTTTGACTCCTCTTCTCTGTCAAGTAGAGAAAATGCCAAACAGTGACCCTTCAAAGAGTGGTCAGGGAGAGATATTGACCGTAATACCTGTAATACTATTACATTTACCGTAATACCACTAACAACAATAAACGAGTGCAGAGATAACAGGTGGTAAAGGTGGACTCAGCAAGATGACATCATTATGAACAACAGGGCAACCTCCTACTCAAACATAAACATGAATTACATGTACCAAAACTACCATTATTGGTTCATTCCATGTGTTCCAATCTTCGTTGGGGTATGCACACATTGGGACCAACCAATAGTGGTTGCCTCTGTAAAGCTTTGGCCACATCTGACGTTGATGATGCTGGGAGCATGAACAGTGTGCAGGCCTTCCTGTAAATAGGTAGTCACCCTGTTATTTCTGAGGAAAAGAAGGGCCTTGGTCAGGGAGGTGACCAAGAACCCGATGGTCCCTCTGACAGAGCTCCAGAGTTCCTCTGTGGAGATGAGAGAACCTTCCAGAAAGACAACCATCTCTGCAGCACTCCACCAATCAGGCCTTTGTGGTAGAGTGGACAGAAGGAAGCCACTCCTCAGTAAAAGGCACATGACAGCCCTCTTGGAGTTTGCCAAAAGGCACCTAAAGGACTCTCAGACCATGAGAAACAAGATTCTCTGGTCTGATGAAACCAAGATTGAACTCTTTGGACTGAATGCCAAGTGTCACGTCTGGAGGAAACCTGGCACCATCCCTAATGTGAAGCATGGTGGCGGCAGCATCATGCTGTGGGGACGTTTTTCAGCGGCATGGACTGGGAGACTAGTCAGGATCAAGGGAAAGATGAATGGAGCAAAGTACAGAGATCCTTGATGATAACCTGCTCCAGACGCTCAGGAACTCAGACTTGGGCGAAGGTTCACCTTCCAACAGGACAACGACCTTAAGCACACAGCCAAGACAATGCAGACAAGGCTTTGGGACAAGTCTCTGAACGTCCTTGAGTGGCCCAGCCAGAGTCCGGACTTGAACCCAATCGAATATCACTGGAGAGACCTGAAAATAGCTGTGCAGCGACACTCCCCATCCAACCTGACAGAGCTTGAGAGGATCTGCAGAGAAGAATGGGAGAAACTCCCCAAATACAGGTCTGCCAAGCTTGTAGCGTCATACCCAAGAAGATTTGAGGCTGTAATCACTCAAATCTTCTTGGGTCTTAAGACTTCTTAAGATCTTAAGACTAAGAGCAGAGGACTTCAGACCTTGAATGTTCCTCCGCGAGATGGTGAAAGATTTAAAATCCATAGATAGATAATATTTCCATGATTGCATTTACAGTCTGACGTACACATGCATGACGTACTTCATTCACACACAGGTGGGTGGCTGTGGGCTGATGGGAATTTACTTAGACAGGTGACAGTCACCTCCTTCAGAAGGAAAAGGCCAGAATCATGTGAGTCTGCTGCAGATAGAAAATGAAGTCTTCCCTCGTGATAAGCTTTCTGAGCCAGACGGTTGGAAAGAGAGAAGGAGAAGGAGAGATGGAAGCAACAAGCAGAGAGAAGAAGGATGAGTGGATTAAAAGGACGGCGTTAGGAGGAAGAGAAGTTGACCTCTGACCTGGGAGAGCGATAGAAGAGGAAATGATTAGTAGACTGTCGTAAAAAAAAAATATATATTTGGCTGTCCCAACGGGAGAAACCCATAGGATAACCTATTAGGTTCCAGGTAGGACACTTTTTGGTTCCAGATAGCACTTTTTATTTGTAAGAGTGTAGCACGAGACAGAGGAGTGATTAGGAGAGAATGAGGGAGAAAAAAAAAGAGAAAACATAAATATTTTAGAAGTTCCAAAGGAGAAGAGATTAATAAGGGAATAAATGGAAAAGAGAGGAATAACAGAACGTATGGAGGGAGGTGGAGGAGAGGAGAGGTGTATATTTGATCATTTCATTGAGGATACCATCAACACCTCTCCTCTCTCTCCTCCCCTCCACCTCTCCTCCCCTCCACCTCTCATCCCCTCCTCCTCTTCACCTCTCCTCTCCTCTCCTCTCCTCCCCTACCCTACCCTCTCCTCCCCTCCCCTCCACCTCTCCTCTCCTCTCCTCTCCTCTCCTCTCCTCTCCTCTCCTCTCCTCTCCTCTCCTCTCCTCTCCTCTCCTCTCCTCTCCTCTCCTCTCCTCTCTCTCCTCCCCCCCACCTCTCCTCTCCTCCACCTCTCCTCCCCCCCCCCCCACCTCTCCTCTCCTCTCCTCTCCTTGGACACACCTACTCATTCCAGGGTTTTTCTTTATTTTTACTATTTTCTACATTGTATAATAATAGTGAAGACATCAAAACTATGAAATAACACATATGGAATCATGTAGTAACCAAAAAGTGTTAAACAAATCAAAATATATTTTATATTTGAGATTCTTCAAAGTAGCCACTCTTTGCTTTGATAACAGCTTTGCACACTCTTGGTTTTCTCTTAACCAGCTTCATGAGGTAGTCACCTGGAATGCATTTCAATTAACAGGTGTGCCTTCTTAAAAGTTAATTTGTGGAATTTATTTCCTTCTTTATGCGTTTGAGCCAATAAGTTGTGTTGTTACAAGGTAGGGGTGGTATACACAAGATTTTGTAAAATACCAAGTCTATATCAGACACTGAGTAATACTGCTGGACATAGAGAAACTACCAGAGAAAACTGAGCAAGGGAACACAGGGAAGTGAGGGCATAAATACACAGGTGAACAGGTAGACACAGGTGACACCAATAGGATCATGATTAGTCCAGACTGTGATTGAGGAGGTGCCTAAAGTTGTCAGAAGAACGCCTCTCCTTCCAGACTCACATTAAGAATCTCCAATCCAAAGTTAAATCTAGAATCGGTTTCCTATTTCGCAACAAAGCCTCCTTCACTCATGCTGCCAAACATGCCCTCGTAAAACTGACTATCCTACCGATCCTTGACTTCGGCGATGTCATTTACAAAATAGCCTCCAACACTCTACTCAGCAAATTGGACGTAGTCTATCACAGTGCCATCCGTTTTGTCTCCAAAGCCCCATATACTACCCACCACTGTGACCTGTACGCTCTTGTTGGCTGGTCCTCACTACATATTTGTCGCCAAACCCACTGGCTCCAGGCCATCTATAAATCACTGCTAGGCAAATCCCCGCCTTATCTTAGCTCATTGGTCACCATAGCAACACCCACCCGTAGAAGCGCTCCAGCAGGTATATCTCACTGGTCATCCCCAAAGCCAACACCTCCTTTGGCCGCCATTCCTTCCAGTTCTCTGCTGCCAATGACTGGAACGAATTGCAAAAATCTCTGAAGCTGGATACTTATCTCCCTCACTAACTTTAAGCATCAGTTGTCAGAGCACCTTACCGATCACTGCACCTGTACACAGCCCATCTGAAATTAGCCCGCCCAACTACCTCATCCCTATACTGTTATTTATTTTGCTCATTTGTACCCCAGTATCTCTATTTGCACATCATCTCTTGCACATCTATCATTCCAGTGTTAATACTAATTGTAATTATTTTGCACTATAGCCTATTTATTGCCTTACCTCCATAACTTGCTACATTTGCACACACTGTATATATATTTATTTCTGTTGTATTTTTGACTTTGTTTTGTTTTACCCCATATGTAACTCTGTGTTGTTGTTTTTATCGCACTGCTTTGCTTTATCTTGGCCAGGTCGCAGTTGTAAATGAGAACTTGTTCTCAACTGGTTTACCTGGTTAAATAAAGGTGAAAAAAAAAAAAAAAAAAAAAAGAAGATGACACCTAGTGGGTCGCTCCAGACCTTTTACCCCCTCCTTTAACAGTGCCACGCCCTCTGTCCCGGGTGAAAAATCGGGGCCAGTCGACGCCTGCGGTTGGCCTGATGTTGAGACCTGACCGAGGCCCGCTTAAGCGCCGCCCATACCTGCCTCCAGGTGCGGTGACAGCGACTGATGTGGGCCTGGACCGACGGGACCGCCTCCTCCTCCTCTTGCTCGGGGAACAGGGGGGGTTGGTACCCGTAATGGCACTGGAAGGGGGACAGGCCGGTGGACGAGCAGAGAAGGGTGTTGTGGGCGTGCACCACCCACGCCAGTCGCTGACTCCACGTAGCTGGGTTTCTGGAGGCGTAGCACCTCAGCACTCCCTCCAGATCCTGGTTGACGCACTCCGTCTGCCCTTTCAACTGGGGATGGAAGTCG